TTTTTTTTTTTTTTTTTTTTTTTTTTTTTTTTTTTTTTTTTTTTTTTTTTTTTTTTTTTTTTTTTTTTTTTTTTTTTTTTTTTTTTTTTTTTTTTTTTTTTTTTTTTTTTTTTTTTTTTTTTTTTTTTTTTTTTTTTTTTTTTTTTTTTTTTTTTTTTTTTTTTTTTTTTTTTTTTTTTTTTTTTTTTTTTTTTTTTTTTTTTTTTTTTTTTTTTTTTTTTTTTTTTTTTTTTTTTTTTTTTTTTTTTTTTTTTTTTTTTTTTTTTTTTTTTTTTTTTTTTTTTTTTTTTTTTTTTTTTTTTTTTTAATTACCAAAAGCGTCTGGCTTTTTTTTTTTTTTTTTTTTTTTTTTTTTTTTTTTTTTTTTTTTTTTTTTTTTTTTTTTTTTTTTTTTTTTTTTTTTTTTTTTTTTTTTTTTTTTTTTTTTTTTTTTTTTTTTTTTTTTTTTTTTTTTTTGACAGACGAACATCTTTATTCATGGACGGCCAGACGTATCGTGCAGCGATGAGACGTAATGTGGCTGCGATACCTGGATGAGACAATCCATGAAGGGCATCGAAGACGAGACGGCGATAGGTAGAGGGTACGATGGGTCGAGGAAGACCGGTAGAAATATCACATAGGATAGTACCTGAGCTAGTAGCGAGGGGTACTTCCTGACACTGAAGGAACGAAGATTTTTTTTTTTTTGTACAGACAGGATCGTTTGCTTGCGCGGTGGCCATAGCAGGAAGATCGAGCACCGGTAAGTAACTGCATTCGTCTGGATACGTGAAAGAGCATCGGCAACATAGTTCGACTCGCCTTTAATGTGACGAAGGTCTGTCGTGAACTGTGAGATATAGTCCAAATGTCTGCACTCTCGTGGTGAGTAGCGGTCAGACTTGGTATGCAGGGCATACGTTAAGGGCTTATGGTCGGTGAATAAATGAATTGACGTCCTTCTACTGCGTGCCGGAAATGTTTGATGGCGCAGTAGGCTGCAAGCAGCTCGCGACCAAAAGCGCTATATCTCGTCTCCGTGGGAGTAAGGCGTCGTGAGAAAAATTCAAGCGGTTGCCAACTACCGGAGATATTCTGTTGCATAACGGCTCCTATAGCGAAATCTGATGCATCAACCGCTATACTAAGCGTGGCTGATGGGTCAGGATGAGCGAGAAGTGTAACTTGAGCGAGAGCCGTTTTGGTCTCTGAGAATGCAGTACGTGCGGTATCGTTCAATTCTAATTTGCGTGGATTACCGCGTAGTAAATCGGTTAATGGTCGTAACCGTTCTGCCGCGTGAGGGATAAAACGTCGGTAGAAGTTAACCAAACCGAGAAAAGTCTTCAGTTCCTTGATTGAGGACGGCACGTTGTACTCCTTGATTGCTCGAATTTTGTCCCCGCAAGGCAGAATACCCTCTTGTCTGATGATCTGACCCAGAAATATTATTTCTGATTTACCCAACTCACATTTCTCGGGGTTGACTACTATTCCATTATCCGAAAGACGTTGGAATAATAGCGTAAGGTGTCGATAATGTTCATCTACGTTTGATGATGCGATCAGCAGGTCATCAATATAGACGTGAACAAAATCCAAGTCTCGTACTATGTTATCGATAAACCTTTGGAAAGTTTGAGCAGCATTCCGTAATCCAAATGGCATTCGTAGGAACTCAAACAGACCGAACGGAGTCGTGATAGCAGTTTTTTTGATGTCTTCAAGAGCGACTGGGATCTGGTGATATGCTCGTACCAGATCGATTTTAGAAAAGATAGTCGTGCCCTTGAGCGATGCCGTGATGTCGTGTATGTGGGGGATGGGGTAGCTATCAAAGCGCGTAACTACGTTTAATGCTCTTTTTTTTTTTTTTTTTTTTCAACTAACCCCATCCTTTTTGCGCACCATGTGTAAAGGTGAGGCCCAAGGACTGTGAGAAGGACGAATAATACCGGCAGATAGCAAATTGTCAAACTCACGTTTAGCGAAGGCTAATTTGTCCGGTGCCAGTCGGCGTGGTCTTGCTGTGACTGGTGGTCCGCGGGTGACTATGTGGTGTACCACACGATTGGTCACCGATGAAATCTCCTCGAGTGGTTTAGTTATTCTGGGGAATTTCTCGAATAAAGCGTGGAATTTATCGTCACGCGAATAAAAAGTGCCGAGGATTCGGTACGCGTTTGTGTGAGCTTTAAAGCCCATGAATTTACTGTTCGACGAAGTATCGATTAGCTGCAGCCTACGTGAATCGACTAGCAATTCATAGTGCTGTAGGAAATCAATACCTAGTATGGCTGTGGGAACATTAGCAATGATGAACGTCCACAGATACCGTCGTCGGTTGCCCAGGTTGACCGCGAGTTGTCGTGTACCGTAGGTAGGAATGGCTGAGCCATTTGCAGCGCGTAGTCGAAGCATTGTAGCTTGTGACTTGATGCTACCTCGTGGTACGACAGAAACTTGGGCACCTGTATCCACTAGGTACCTAGCGTTTGTGCGATAATCGTGCACGTAAAATAAACGGCCAACCTGGGGGGCAGGGCCGGCGAGTACGGCCGCTTTTACTCGCCGGCTTTGGAGTTTCCCGCCTTGTATGAGCACGGGGCTCGACAACGGCGGGCACCAGATCCGAAGGATCGATGAAACCAGCACCAACCTGCACTCGCTTCCGAAGCCGCCTTTTGGCGTGGCTTGGAAGATGCCCTCGTTGGGCGAGTGTTGACGGCTTTTCGAGAGCGTGAGCGGACTCGAGGGACGTAGGGTTGGGGTACGTTACAACGATCTCGAAAACTAAGACGTGTGTGAATACACCCTTCCCTGTCACCTTGAGCCGAGGAGTGGCTGCCGTCGATATCGACTTTCGGACGCGACGTTGAGGCAACTACGTAGTTGTCTCGGTTGCCAGTCCTAGCTAGAATTTTGTCTGCTGTGAGGGCTACCTGTTTCAGTGGTGCGTCCTCGAGCAGGGCCGTAACTGTAGGTTGGATAAATGCTGGTAGAGATTCGAGCCACAGTTCTTTAACAATATCAGAATCGGCTGCCGTGGGTCCTGCAAGAGATTGCAGGCGCGTGAGGTGGTGGCTCGGTTTAGCATCACCCAGGGGGTGACATGCTAATAACGTCCTCAATCGTTCCTCCCTCGATGGGAGGAAATGCCTGAGGATCGCCTCCTTGAGACGATCGTAAACATTGGGCACATTGGAATTTAGGACAACCTCACGGACAGCTACCAAATGGTCTCCCGGTAAACATTCGAGAGCGTAAGTGTACTTCTGCCGTTGGCTTGTAATATGACGGGTCTCAAATTGAGACTCTATAGCAGCAAACCAAACTTCGGGATCGTGAGGAATAAAAGATACAGGTCGAAAGTGTATAACCTGTACGTCAGAGTCTATTACGTTAATACTATTCTTATCGTTATCCGTCATGTCAAATATATTATATATTAAAAATTAATATGAAAATATATGACAGACGTGGATAGATAAGCGATAGACTCACCAAAATTGACTTCTTTGGAAGGTTTGGTTGCGATTGCCAAGTGGTCGTAGATGTAGGTTCACCAGTTGCAGAAGATTTGACCGAAGTTGAGGCGTGTTCCAAAATTTGGCTCACCAAATGTAGCGTGGTGTCGAGTTGAGCTGGACTATGAACACCGCTACCAGACTACTTGCCAATAGACCAATAAGATTCCGGTAGGCCAAAAATCAGAAGGCAGATGATGGCTGTAGTCGGATATATTTGTTGGCAATCTCGTGGTATCGGAAGAATACCGAGATCGTGCCAAAGGAGTACAGGTGCGATCGGCAAGAAAAGATACGTGCGTAGTTGAAAACCGCGTAGAAGCAATGGAATACAATGGAAGACTAAAATGGCTGTTATTAGCACAGTTAAACAAACGAGCACAGTAAAACAGTCACTGGTACAATTGGTTATAATAATAATTGTTTTCATCGAACCAATCGCGTTCTGTTGACAAAAGTAGGTCACTACAAGTCTAACCAGTGTAGTCAAATTAGTAAAAAAAGATCATTCGGATGGCTTTCTCAAATTATGTGATAGAAAATGATTTTTTTAGTCATGAAACAACATAGTTTAGGAAAAGCCTTAACAGGGTGATCTAATACTGACCTACCATAAAGTAAATGATCTTTGTATATATATGTCTTTTCCTCCCATCTGAAACTGATCATGTGAAAGAACACCCAAGAAAGCTCAAAAACCAAGACCAAACAGTTCCCATTTGAAGTTTCGTTTCTTGCACCGAGTAGTAAATTACTGCAATTCACTACCAAAACACGTAAAATCAGAACCTGACGATATATTCAGAGCAATATTGGACCTTAAGCGTGTCTCAAATTGCATGGACCGATAAAGGTCGACTGACCACCCATCCTTACTACTGAAGATATAACTGATATGTATACCACTGATTAAAAATATCTTATTTTATGAGGTAAGCATTACGCTTTATTCTATACATTGTGTCTCTTTGCTGTAAATGGCATGACTCGGTGCAACGTTCAAGGACACGATTCATAATACAAGACAGTTCCTGAAGTGGTAAGATGAAAGTCCTTAATTGTCTGATTATTCTCAATATAAACCATCTCCTCTCAGGTTTCTGTTACCGAATTACTGCTATTGCTTGGTGTGCCTAGTTACCAAATCATACAATCTGGAGTTCTTTGTTTTGCCTGTATTAACTCTGATAATGCTATTTATTCATTAATTGCCCCTTTTTATCAACCTCACGGTTCCGTCTCATAACCCCTTCAACCCATCTGGTCTATATAAAACTTCCTTCATTTAACTGTATAATTCCTTAATACGTATTTTGTTCTGTTAATTATTTTTACGTCCATTTTCATAATAACCAGTGATTATGACTTCGCCTTGTAGTACATTTCCATCAGTGACAATTTTGGTTTTCATTTAATTATCAGCATCTATGATTGAAAAAACTGTTTGCAACAGATATTTGTTTTTAATCTGAATAAAATTGCAGCGAAAGTGTAGGGCGGTGTGTTTGTATATTGGCAAACGGTTTCCACTAGCAGTATGTACTGTAGCTGGTTTTGATGCGACTTTCCAATTGCTGCCATTCATAGGATGAGACGAAGGTAAAACCCATCCTAATACTCGTTTGCTCAGGTTATTGTTTCCGTGACACCTGTTTTTGACAGTGGTTCGGCCCTTATGGTTCAAAACCAGTGCTTAGGACCACTATTCAAACCATTTCTATTGAAACAGTTGGATTGATCTTGGCGATAGGCTTCTTTGCCATACCTACCATAACAATAGCTGACAGAAAACTCATTTCATCCACCCCACCTAGCCGTATAACAACTCTCATCCAAAATGACATCTTTCAAAAGTATGTATTGTCAATCGAAAGTGAAATGTCTGGATGCAGAAGTTTAAGAAGATCGAAGAGAAGAGAACAGGAACAGAGAGTAATTGGTGTGGAAACGTAGGAATAGTCATGTTTGAGACAATCGATTGACATTTTTCAAATGAAATATTTACTGTACGGTCCTCAGAGATTCTGTAATTTGGATTTTAAACACATTTGATTGTGCGCACTTATGTTCCCGCTCACTACAATACCACATAGTTCTGAGAAATTTCGTCTTCTTATTAGATTATCTAAATTTATCAAAGTGAGATTAACTGCTTTAAACTGTTTATCTTATGAAACTAGAAGATGGAATTTACTCAACTGATCAATATTAATTCATACACTTTTCATCCTTAAATATTCGGGATGTAATCCAACGACCAAAGCACAAAAATATGAAAAATGTATCTTTTCAATAAGTGACTACAAGTAAAAACATTTTTTATATCCTAAATTTGTAAACAGTTCACTGTAATCAAGGGAAACAAATGAGATGATTGTCGTTAAACTCACTAGAATAATACAAATGAGATCAATAAATTGAAAAACTTTACTGGGTATCTTGGAAATATTGTTGATTAAAAGGTATAGATAACAATGATTAGGTTTATTTAAACTCACATTCTATATGATGAATACAACAATAACAATTCATCAGTAATGGATTGTGGAGATTGTTTGGGGTTTTATCGTGAACATTAACCAATTATGTACTCAACCGTTTTGTCCTGTTATGGGACACCTCAGCGGTGCACATCCACGATTTCGGATGTGGGACATCCGATTCCACACGAAAGTTTAATCTCTACAACACTGAGTCAGTATACAACGGTGCTAATGTCTAGCTTCAGTCAATCCACAATGACATACCACCATCTTCCATTGTCTTCCATGAGTAACTACCTCACACCTGATGAGACTGTATTCAAATCTATTCTGAAAGCAGTCAAGCACAAAAACGACACAGTCAAAATGGCTCTCCACACAAAATATATGTTAACGAATAAAATGTCAGTCACTTTACTGGTAACTAGTTGAACCAACATGATACAAGAAAAAAGAGTAAATTCTAATTACTCTTAAGCAATAAAGTTGGAATACAACAATTTCACAATAAGCTTGAAAAATAGACAAGGAATTCAGGAGACGAAAATAAGTGGAAATATCGAAATGAAAGTATAGACTAAAGGGATAAATCATTAGTTTCAACAAAGGAAATATCATTCGTCTGAATGATGAAATACATCTGTGAACTATATAAACAAGGATGAATGGTGGCTAGCATTGGAATCCAGGACTCGCATTTCGTGTCATTATGGGACTCGTGAACTAGATGTACCTGCATCTCAGAGTTGATGTTCACTGTGGGACTGGAACCCAGTACGTTCGCATTAAACACCAATACTTTACCCACTTAGCTACTGAGTCCTGATAGCCTCCTGCTTGTTTAGTGGGGTGAGGTTTAAATTCATTTGGTATTATTTGCTTGTATCTTCCCATTCATAATTAGGACTGCAATTAATCAGCCTCTCATTGAAATATGTGCATCCTGTGCTGCAATATCGAAGTAATCCACACAGGATGCATAAATGCCAATAAGAGAGAGTGATTAATTTTAGTCCTAAACATCAATCGGAAGATACAAGCAAACAATACCAAGTGAATCGCACCTCTAAGCTAGTTACAGCTATTAAGTATTATGATGCAGTACACATAAATTAACTCACTAAAAGAACGAACTGATGACACTAATTATTATATAAACGTCAATTTATTTAAATGTAATAAACAATATAAGTAAAATGTATGAAGTGAAGTTTAAATTCACTTGGTGTTGTTTACTTGTATCTTCTGATTGATGTTCAAGACTCAGTAGCCATATGGATAACGTGATGCCATTTGAAGCGAACGATACTGAATTCGAGTCCATGAATAAACATCCTCGCTGACGAATCCCAAATAGGACGAAACGTACGTCTTGGATTTCACTACTAGTCACCATCAATCTTTACTTATAATAATAATAATACTTATAACTTAATGTATTATCCAAGTGGTTCGCACAGGATGCACATCTACCAATAAGAAAGATTGATCAATTTCAGCATTAAACATCAATAGGAAGATACAAGCAAACAAAATCAAATGAATTTAAATATTATTGATTTTTGAATATCATATAAAAAATAAAAATCAATATTTAAATTGAGTGACCTTCAAGTATTAATCAATAAAATTATCCCATTCAAATATATATATATATATATATATATATATATATATATATATATATACAATTTTTGTGTTTGTGTGCGCATGTGCGTGCGTGCATGTGTGTGTGTGCTAAATTCATAATAACCATGACAACAACAACAAATCAAAAAAGATTAAAACAACAATTCATTATAAAATTTTATATTATTTTATTATTATTAAATGATATTTATTTATATAAATATTTATATATAAATATTCCAATGACATCATTAAAATTAAGAAAACTATTTAATTTACCAATTTATATGAAAGAATTAAAATTAATACAATTTTCTAATTGGACAAGTGATTGGTCAAATGAACTAAGTTGGGAATATTTAAAAATGTCAAATTATGAATTACCATTATATATTAAAGAAGGATATTGGATACCGAATTCATTTGAGTAAGTAAATTTGTTTGTTTGTTTGTTTGTTGTTGATTCATTCATTCATTTTGTATATCTCAATCAGCTTCGTATGCCTGAACACCGATTACCACGACGGGCAATACTAACCGGTATTAGGGATGATTGGAAGAAAGTTAGGGGCGGCCAAACCAAAACGTGGCATCAGTGCTTGAAATCACTAACTTCTGGTCTGAGCCATGTTGGTAGATGCAGACTACTTGGTTGGTGTCCGCGTGACTATCGTAACCAATGGTTGGAGACTCTCGGTGACATGGCTCAGAATCGATCACAATGGCGTTGGTGTATACACTCTCTGTCTTCCTTTAAACTAAGAGATTACAATTACTTCATATCTTTCTTTCTACCAACTAATTCTTTCTTCCTGTACTATCTCCTTATACACAATCTTTCTTCTACATATTACCACCACTGAATTAACTACTTCTATGAATCCGGCGTTGATCTTGTTGTGCTGATGAGGTGTGGCAACTTGGACTGATGCATATATTTGCCTGGTCGTACGTTGAAGCTGACTGACTGACTATCTTAATCATGTGAGATTTGAGTAGTAAACTGAGATTTAATCTCTAATTAGATCGGACAAATGACAAATGATCCTAATTATTGTTGTCATAGAGTCAACATCATTAGTTCTAATCTGTGATCAGTTGATATGTACACGCACTGAACAAGGTGATCATTAAAATCTTATGAACAAATATCAAAATGATTAGAAGACAGTGGGGTGTGGTGTTTCTGTTGATATTGTAGTATTTTGTGTGCAATGCTCTTGTATTGACATGTTACATACGGATTCTGTGACTGTTATGTGTGATAGTGCATTTGCTCACAATCATTTAGTCGAGCATTCAGTCATTCAATTATGTTTATGCCCCAAATGTGATGAAACTTTAGTGGCCATATATCTGACTCCAGTTAGATCATTTCTGACTTTTATTGAAAGTTAGATATGGCCAATCCTCGTATGTAATCATCGATTTAAACCACATTGGTGAATAACGGGATTAAATAAGTGAAATACGAGAATGAAGTTTAAATGAGTATATTTCATACAGTCTATGATCTGAACAGAAAATCGGAGAAACGAAGTGAAATGACACGCAGTGGAGAAGACGTGTGAGACAACTCGATTTAACCAAGCGTTAATCAATATTTATAGCCAGATAAAAATAGGTTACAGACATGTGATGAATAGGATAAGAAGTGAACATGTATACGCTTACATAAAAACAGTCAAAGTTGATAAGCGAATAATTAATAAGATCAGAACGTGACTCAAGAAGAATGAATAGATTGACCTGTCCAGAAGCGAGAAGAAGTTGTGTAGCCTTAACACAGTAACCGACACTACAAGGTATTTAGGGTTTTCTCTTTTGTTTTTATACAAGTTTTATCTAATATCATAGTAGAAATGGTTTGTGGTAGTGATTTACGGAAAATATAAATTAAACTAAGTAATAGTGAGTAACTGTATCAAGTTCTACGATGATAGGAGACAAATAGAAACAAGAAAGTTGAGCATTAAAAGTAGAAATTATCACCCGAAAAAAAATGTTCAGTGAGTATACAGGAAACGAAGATAAACTGTTATGAATGCTATAAAAGTACAACAACAATAATACGTGGATTAAATTTCACAGATCTATATACATACTAAAAATTATCATACAACGATGATTAACAATGATATAAGTTACTTGATATTAGTGAGTAGTAGAACTAACACACATGGATGAAAACAGAATCAACAGCAGGAACTGCTTCACTCGTGACCTCAGTCAGTCAGTCAGCTTCAACGTACGACCAGGCAAATATATGCATCAGTCCAAGTTGCCACACCTCATCAGCACAACAAGATCAACGCCGGATTCATAGAAGTAGTTAATTCAGTGGTGGTAATATGTAGAAGAAAGATTGTGTATAAGGAGATAGTACAGGAAGAAAGAATTAGTTGGTAGAAAGAAAGATATGAAGTAATTGTAATCTCTTAGTTTAAAGGAAGACAGAGAGTGTATACACCAACGCCATTGTGATCGATTCTGAGCCATGTCACCGAGAGTCTCCAACCATTGGTTACGATAGTCACGCGGACACCAACCAAGTAGTCTGCATCTACCAACATGGCTCAGACCAGAAGTTAGTGATTTCAAGCACTGATGCCACGTTTTGGTTTGGCCGCCCCTAACTTTCTTCCAATTATCCCCAAAACCGGTTAACATTGCTTACTTACATACTCCTGTTACTCCTCGTGAAGGAGCATAGGCCGCTCACCAGCATTCTCCATTCAACCCTGTCCTGGGCATTCCTTTCCAGCTCTTTCCAGTTGTCATTCATCCATTTCACGTCTGCTTCTATTTCCCGACGTAATGTGTTCTTTGGCCTTCCTCTTTTCCTCTTCCCTTCAGGATTCCAAGTTATCGCTTGTCTCGTAATGCAGTTTGATGATTTCCTCAATGTATGTCCTATCCATTTCCATCGTCTTTTCCTAATTTCCTCTTCAGCTGGAAGCTGGTTGGTTCTCTCCCACAAAAGGCTGTTGCTGATGGTATCCGGCCAATAGATGTTGAGTATCTGGCGTAGACAGCTATTGATAAATACTTGTACCTTCTTGATGGTGGTTGTTGTAGTTCTCCAAGTTTTAGCTCCATACAGTAGAACTGCCTTGACGTTGGAGTTGAAGATTCTGACTTTGATATTGGTTGAAAGTTGTTTTGAGTTCCAAATGTTCTTCAATTGAAGGAATGCTGTCCTTGCTTTGCCAATCCTTGCATTTACGTCTGCGTCTGATCCTCCCTGTTCATCGACGATGCTTCTCAGGTATGTGAAGGATTTTACATTTTCCAGAGTGTTGCCATCAAGAGTGATTGGACTGCTGTTCTCCGTGTTGTATTTGAGGACCTTGGTTTTCCCTTTGTGTATGTTGATGCCTACTGATGCAGAGACTGCTGCTATGCTGGCTGTCTTTATCTGCATTTGTTCGTGTGTATGCGATAGGAGGGCTAGGTCATCTGCGAAGTCCAAATAATCCATTTGGTTCTGAGCTATCGATTGTATGCCATGTTTTCCCTCAGATGTCGAGGTCTTCATAATCCAGTCGACCACCAGATGAAAGAGGAAGGGAGAGAGTAGACAGCCTTGTCTGACTCCTGTCCTTACTTGGAATCTATATGTCGGCTGTCCTCCATGCACTACTGATATATATTGTGGGCCGCCGAGTAGAGGGCAGTGAATTTCGATCGGATCAAGGACGCGTAAAACACGTGCGAGCGACCTAGAGTTCTGATTGGCCCTGCTTTCCGCCTAGCCCAGCCAGTTAAGTCCAGAACGCCAATCTCAGCCTCTGCAATACGAATCTTATATTTCAAACATACTGAGTTTATATACCAATCAAAGTACTCTGCCCATCTGTTCCGCTGTTGTTGAATCTCAGTGATTGGTCTTCTTTGTCTTTGACTGGTCTCTCTGGTTTACTATATTTCCCTGCTAGTTTCTTCGTTGTATCGTAAAGCTGTCCCATATTTCGTTCTCTTGCAGCTTTTTCCGCCGTCTTTGCTAGTTCTTCCACATATTTCTGTTTGTCGGCTCTAATGCTCTTCTTTACTTGCTTGTTTGCTTCTATGTATTCAGCTTGTGCTTGGACTTTCTCTGCTCGTGTTTGGCTGTTGTTAATTGTTGTCTTCTTGCTCTTCCTTTCTTTGCACATCGTGCTAATCGGTGTTCAGGCATACGTAACACGTGGCTCAGCCATCTCAGTCTATGAAGATTTACAACCTTATCAACTGATTTACCATCATTCCCTAATACCCTTTGTCTAACTTCACTATTACTTACCCGGTGATCCTAGCAGATACGAGCAATATTTCTAAGACAATATGGTCAAACACTAGTAGCTTACGAGTATCTTCAACTCTTAATGGTCACGTTTTGCAGCCGTAAACTTGAACAGAACGAACTGCTGCACAGTATACTCGGCGGAGATCTCGCCTTCGCCATAGGTGGCATAAGTTGACAAAAGCTAAACGAGCTTTCTGAATCCTTGAAGGCATTATCACTAAATCTCGGCTTTTCATTAAAATTTTAGAAAATCAACTCGAATTTATCTTTTTATTAGTAATCACAGTAATACAGTGATTGAATGATGAGTTCAATATTATGTAGCTTGGTGCCATTGTACACTGATTATAAGTTTCATTTGAATAAATCTTTATAAAAAAACCACCTAACTGTTATAAAATGTGGTTTTGTGCCCTTAATTCTTTGTTTTTCACTCCGTCGCCAATTGTTATAACATGTGCCTTGTGCCCCTATTAATATATAACGTAATGATATCGCCAATTAGAGAGCAATGAATTATCGATCGGACCCATGAAGCATAAAACACGTACGAACAGTCTAGAGCTCTCATCGGTCCTGTTTCCTGCCCAGCCCAGCCAGTGAAGTCCAGAACACCAATCTCAGCCTCTGCGATATAAATCATGTATTTCAAACACACTTGGATTTTATACAAACCAAACAGACCGCATCATACCATCTAATAGGAAACAACATTTGTACAAGAATTAGCCAAATGTGGCTGTGAATGTGGGAGATAGTAATTGATAGATTGGGCATAACTCAAGAGTCGTAAATCGTATCATAATAGTTCATAGGTCAAAATAAAGCTTATGATAAGAGGAACACGAATATGAATAGTTTAATTACATAACAATTATACAATAAGAAATATATGCATAGTATTAAACTATAACTAGTTCTAAACAGTTACCATTGATTATTCTCATTCGAATAATAATACTAACTTACCAACTTATTCACTTCATATTAGGATAAATATTATTTTTATTATAAATTTATATTGATATATTATATTAGAACAATTTGTACACCAGAAGCAACTCATAAAAGTTTTATTGATATAATCTATGAATTTACACAAGAAGATTATGAGAAAAGTGATTCTATTTCAATAAGAAATTTATTTACTCGTACTGGGAAATATTATGATAGAGGATATTTAATTATCCTTTCATTTCTAATCAATATATGTCAATGTTTACGTAAACGTGTAAGTCTATTATGGATCAATTTTATTGTTTGTTTATATTGTATTCTATTGTATAACTTAAGTATAGTCTATAGGGAAGTTTAATCTTTAAGGTAAAATAGAATAGATACATATTATTAAATATCTCCTTGATACAGAACATCAGGTCGATACTCTATAATCATTCAAGGTGATTAGTAAGCAGACAGACTTCAGTCCTTTAAAGTTTGCTGAAGCCGTTGTTATCAAACGTCGTAAACTTGATTTATGTGTTCAAAAGGAGATGGTTATTAATCATTCCTTACCTTGGTGACTAATATTCCTTCGTTGTATCTTAATATATATTCTTTTTCTTTAAACTCTTTCTTGCATTTATCACATCATTTAATTTTATTCAAACTATTCTCCAAATTGATAAACTTATTTTATCATCTGAACTCTACCCACTTTATTCCTATTAATGTTTAGTTGTTTTTAGCCATTTGAACTGTTGTCAAACCATCCGATCAACGTGGGTGGTAGAAAACCAGGGTCATCGATAGCGAAACATATAATTGAAACGAGGCACAAAATTGATATTAATACAGCTTTTAAAACGTTGTATAAAAATTGTCAAGGACGAATTCTTAAGTTTATAGAAGCCTTGGCTATTCGTAAATTTAAGCCCCCTTTATGTATACAAAAACAATTTGTCGTAACCTTGAATTTACCTTGGTAATCCTTGAGTCATTCTATGGCCTAGGATAATGTGACAATTTCTTATCCTTTCTCTCCCCTTTGTTATTTTTGTTTGTACTTTAACTTTCATGTAATTGACCTTTATTAATTTTCATATAAAATGCCCTGACAAGTATATGTGTGACCAGATTGTTCGAAATGTATAGCGCAAATACATCACATTTTTCAGATCAACTCCGTCTTCTCATTGTTCTATCGAAACAATCAATGTTGTAGAATGTTCTTTTACATAAGGTATATATATTTACAATATTCACTGTCGCTCGATTTCTTGGATTAGTTGAAGTTAGACATTAACACCATTGGATGCCAGCCGGTTCAGTGGTCTAGTTGGTTGAGCGCCTGGAGCGGGACTGATAGGTCCTGAGTTTGAATTCCGCGGGGCGGGGTCGTGGGTGCGCACTGCTGAGGAGTCCCGCAATAGGGCGAAACGGTCATCCAGTGTTCCCAGGCTTTCCATGGTGGTCTAGCTTCAATTGACTAACGATCTCAATTACTGAAATATTCAGTTTATTCAATTTCTTTACACCTTTGCTATACTACACTAATATGTCTTTAATATAACTTCCAACTAAATCCTCTCATGTAAGTCATTTAAACCCATAATGTAATTATGAAAATGAAAGTATAGTTCGTAGCTGGATCATCTAGCCTAATTAGTCGGCTACTAATGTTTAAAACTAGTTTTTAATTTAGGTTTTCCTCTATAAAATCACGTTAAAATTCAAACAAACCACTTTATTAGCAAAAGTTCACCACTGCATCCACTTATTTATAAAGGGGTTTTCGTCACAGATTGAGGTCAGCTGATATATCATGGAAAAAGAAGGACCACTGTGAAATTATTTCGTCCTAGTACAGAAATTATGGGCAGTGTATAACCAGAAATCTTCTAACACTTATTGGTCAACAGATCACTCACTGCCTGAGTAACCTAAAGGTCCTGGGGTACTATCTACGCTAGGGTCATCGATGTTCACTGTTGATAAGACTCATACTAGAAAATAATGAAGGTAATATCATGAACCAAAATTCAGGTGCGAAATTACAGAATGTCTTCTTGACATAAGAAAAACACACATTAAATAATCTATTCGCCCATCTTCCATCGTTGTCCTATACATTCTTCATGATTCTTCATATTATATTTTTATTCCAAATCCTTTCTGTTTCCCTTCCGGTTCTCTTTAATTCAATCTTTTCCATCCTCTTGTAGTGACCTACTTTTATCAGGAGAACGCGATTGGTGTAATGGAAACAATTATTATTATAATCAATTGTATCAGTGATTGTTTTATTGTACTTGTTTGTTTAACTGTACTAAAGACATTCTTTCTTCCGTTGATTGTGACCTTGCACGAACTTACGTTTGCTCAGTAGTTCCACTTGTACTCCTTTGACACGATCTCGGTATTATTTCGAAACCATGAGATCGCAAACAAATACATCTCGACTACAGCCATCAACTGCCTTCTGATATTTGGCCTACGGAGGGATCTAACCTGTTAACTGGCACGTAGTCTTCTTGTAGTGGTGATCATAGTCAAACGTGACTTGACGTCACACTAAACTCTTTTGTCAAGCATTCCACCGCTGACCGGTGTTACATACTACTTATATCTGTTAACATAAGTAACATACACCACAATATCACAGGTAATCTTAATTTGTAACGATAATTGCCTATATTTTCAACTTATTTTTACAGACTATTTCATCAAACTATTCATATTTATTTATCTACTATTCTAGCATACGAATTTACATTGTCCAAATCCTTGTGCTAAACCAAATGTCTGTCATGATGATATGAATAGTAACGGTTTGTGTATGATAATATCAAATGATGAACTTTTGAATAGTATACCAATGAATATACGAAACAGACTGGGATCAGTCTATGCTTATGATTATGAATGTGTATGTATAGATGATTACACTTTCAATCATACATTAAAGAAGTGTGTACCAATCAGAAAACATTGTGATCCTTCAATGTGAGTTTTTTGTTTTCTTGTTCATTATCTCTGTATAGCTTTATATGCTTGTTTTTTGTGTATAATTTTATGTCACAACTAAGATACATCATTGATCTTGTATATTATTATTATCAATTAAATGTTATCAGGATGGGGATTTGTGGAGATAGTAGTAATTTTAATGGTTGAATTCATGAGTCAATCTAAGCTAGACCATCACTGACAACGTGGAAGCACAGGACGGCTGTTTCGTCCTAGTATAGGACTCTTCACCAGTGCACATCCACAAACCTGCATGCGGCTAAGTGGTCTAGAGTTTAAGCATACATGTACGAAACTGAAGGTCCTGGCTTTGAACCCCGCTTGAGGTATCATGGGTGCGTACAGCTGGAGAGTCTTATACTAGGACGGGACGGCCGTCTAGTGCTTCTAGGTTTTCAATGGTGGTCTAGCCTTAACTGACTCATGAATTCAACTATTAAAATTAAATGTTAATTAGAATCAAACTAATGCCACAGTCTCTGTTGATATATTTCTGATTGGTTTTGTACTATTTTGTATACATCAGTAAGGCATATCAACAATTTTTAGAGTTGATTGTCTCTTAGAGAATTCAATGTTGAAGACGATGATTCAAGTAATGACCTATTCAGATTATGATTTTATTCCCGAGTGACTTAAATAATGTTAAAGTAACTTGTTTATTAAGTGGCTATTAGGATAATGTTGTTGAATGTATCCTGATTTCGAAGAGATATCATAGGTGATTCACTTGCTTACGACTTCTTTGAATCAAACAATTATTAAAGTTAATTATAGTAGATAATGACACGATTACTCAATATGTTCCATATATTAATGGCATATAAATTATTGAGTTTGTTCTTAACATGAATGTAAATTACCTCCTCTCAATTATATTGAATTGCATACATTTGTGCATGGTTACAGAATAGGAAAATTGTATTAAAGTTAGTATTTGGAGTCGTCAATAATTCCTTAGGAATGTTTTGAGAAGCCATTAAAAATGATGGTAATATTTGGGTCAATCATTCTTCTCTAATAACGTCAAATAGAAATTTAGAAAATCGCTGATTACGTATTCTTTGAGATGATGGGGAAGATTTGTAGCTCGGATGGATGATTTTGATGGAGTTTTGTTCTCTGAGCTGGATGGTTTAGTCGTGGAGCTGTCATCATTCTTCTGAGCGGCATCATCAGCACAAACTTCTATCTGAGGTTGTATGTATTCTTTATTCTAATTGAACAATTTCTGAATTAACTAACGATTGTGATATTTTTCTCAGAGGTGTCGAAAAATCCCATGGTGACGTATAATCCTATAAACGAACTTGTTTTTCGTACGCAAACTAAATTTTTAAACAAATCTTTCATTTTGATCGAGATCATGAACTGATTGATGTCAGACAGTCATTGAAAACATTAATCGCTTCATGATCTCAATTAAAAACTAAATAATCTTCACAACTCCATACTGATAAAGCTTTCATTGTTCTTCCTACTGTATGTTTTCTGATCAAGGTTTTTCTGTGGATGAGGAAGAGGTTAAACTATTGTTGTTTAAGTGTTTAAGAAAAAGACACATTGAATAGTACTAATACACACAATAGCTTAAATAACTCAATATTGTGTAAAACTATCACCAGCCTAATACACATTTACTTTTGTCCAAAATCATACCGTCTTTTTAAATTAGCGTACAGTAATAAAGTAGCCAAATATGATTGTCTAATGATCATCAATAACCGGTGAAATATGTATTTGATTATTGATTGAAATTTTATGAAAATTTACAATCAATCCCTTGGGTTAATCAATTCTAGGCGGCCTGGTTGAATATCTGGGCTACCTGTTCATGTTATCTGGATATTTCAACAGGTTATCTGTTTTCTGGTTTGTTTTAACACATCATTATGCCTATTAGTCCCATAACCTATTCAGGTGCGTTTGTGAAAAGTTTACAACATTTCGCTGTACAAGTTACAGAAGGTCCCGATTAGGCATATCGTGGTTGCTGACAATATGCATCGAAAAGGATTTACATTATTCAAATGTCGATTCCTGAACTGCTAAAATCTAACTAACGATCACCCAATATTTATTACAAAGGTCGATCGAGAAATTAGGAAAGGAAACTTGTTGAAATACTTTATGTTGAGAATTCTATATTGTACCGGAAATATAACTCTGTTTTATGTTATAGTCCGTTTTAATTATAACGTACACTTACTACGGTCTACAAAATCCACAATACAAATGAGTTGCCATCAGCTGTTATATCGAATAAAATGTATACAAATCATAAGTGGGTGAGACTATAACTTATGGACGACCTTTAAGCGACTCAAGACTGACCTTGAGGGTGTCCACTTAAAATCTAGGATCAACTATGGATTATAAACCTGTGTGAGGAATTATAATTATGATTTACAGTTGGTATTTAAGGTTAAGAATTAGATTTCGAGTTTTCATCACGAACTGATATCAGCTATAATGCCAAAACTCATTTTAACCAAATGGATAAGTGTATTTCGCTCCAAAATCCAAGACCTCTTTTTCTTTTACCTGATTGGTTCGTTCATAAATTATAGTCTCGCCCATAAGTGTATATAGATCTATCCTTCTGATTCTAATAAGAGCAGATAGACAGACCCTAAGACTAGTCAGATGTATAACTTGCTCTCTCTAGTAGCACACTTTGTTTAATCTTAAGATTATAAGTGAGTTCAAACAACTTATATGTCCATACTTGTTCAGCCTACTAAACTGACCGATAATATCGAATGAAGAATGGACAGAATTACAAGTTGGTTAACTTTGATCATTCTCTTGATCGTTAAATAATATCGTACTGATCTTGTAGGTTCTCCAGTTAATGTCATTTCATGAAGAAAGATTGTTTATATAAAGATCAGAGTCATGATTAAACGAACCATGAACGAAGCTATGAAACTATGTAACATTTCATTTGCATATATTTTATTTAATGTATCCATATTCATTTAACTGTTATTGTTATTTCAATGGTTAAGATCATGAGACTGATAGGTCCTGGGTTCGAATCTCGCAAGGGGCGAGATTGTGGATGCGCACTACTGAGGATTCCCGCAATGGGACGAAATGGCCATCCAGTGCTTTCAGGTTTTCCATGATGGTTTAACTTCAAATGACTCATGATCTTAACCATTGAAATTACTATGATATCCATAAAACCCTTCTGATATTATTATTATGTTTGTTTCCAGTTGTCTAAATAATGGAGAATGTGAATATCTACCAGAAGAAGAACGAATTATTCCTAATATTGAATTTATTTGTAAATGTCCACCTGCATGGAAAGGATTATCATGTGAAGTAATGTAAACATTCATGTTACATTGATTTTATAAACATTCTATTAACAAATCCCAAATATAAATTGTTCTTGAAATAGGATTGCTACAGCATGTAACGTGTGGAAATCCTCAGTAGTGAGTGTTAGCAATCCTACTAGGAGTCAAACACAAGAACTACATAGCTTATGGAGAGCTTCTAACCTTCAAACCACCGAATTTATCAGGCGCCTGAGAAGAGGTCTCAATATCTTGGGTACACTTTCAGATGGGGGTAGAGATTATGCTTCTTAGTATTCACTGCTTGTTTAGCTAAGATCATTAAGTAATGCAAAAACCACAGAGTCAACAATCTTCATAATGCCTTATACTACTAAATGAAAATTATTCTCATAAAATATTTAACTTATTTTTTTAGGAACCAAGAAATCCTTGTTTAGAAACACATAGACTATGTGGACAACATTCTTGTTTTCGTGATCCAACTAATTTAAAACTTGGTTATCGATGTCAATGTCCAATTGGATTTAAAGCAATCAGTACAACTAATCCACAATGTATTAATATAAATGAATGTTTAGAATATACAAATGATGATATTTGTTTAAATGGTGGAATTTGTATTGATAAAGAACCATATTCAATTATTGAACATGGTGGAACAGAAGTAACCTATGGATTTCAGTAAGCTGAAATATTAATTATTTAAATTCACTTGGTATTGTTTGTTTGAATCTTCCCATTGTTATTTAGGACTACAATTGATCAGTCTCTTATCAGCATATATGCATACTGTGCGTATTGCCTCGATATAGCTTTAATTCACGAGCATTATATATAAAGATGGATAGTGGTTAGCAATGGAATCCAGGACACACGTTTCGCCCTATTTGGGACTCGTCAGGTAGATGTACCTGCATCTCAAAGTTGCTGTTCATTCTGGGACTCGAACTCAACTCTGATAAGTACATAACAGCAACAACTCGCCAAGTATAATTATTGGTTAATCAGTTACAAAAGTGCTGACAAAGCCAATTTTCTAGTTATAACACTTATAATTTTCTTAAAAGGGATCTCTACTGAAAAACAATATGTATTTAGAGGGGAAGGAAGGTTGAATGAAACCTTTTGATCTTGTGTTTTGATCAATTACATTCAACTCCTAGTATTATTATTACTATAGCGATTATACAACACTTTAACATTCATTTTTTTCTAAATAGTTCTATTATTAGACAAAAACAATTTACATTTAAATCCTTTGATTCTCCCGTTTCATTCTTTGCATCACTATAATTCAGTACATAGTAGGACTGGATTTCTAATCAAACCTAGAAATTCATCCTTGAGCACTTAATTCTTTCTGTCAATAAGTCAATCGAAAACATGGGTATTTCCTTTGAAATCTGTGAGTAATCATAAATAGGCCAGAAATATAATCCAGAAACTTCAGCTGTCAAGGAGAGCATCACCTTTAGGCTATTGAGTATTGAACGAGTTTTGTTTACTCATTGTTGAGGAGTCTCATACTAGAATGACACAGATATCTAATATTTACTGGCTTTCGAAGGTATTCTCATTGTTGTCGGTCGGTAATGACAACCATCTATGAATTGAATTGAACTGTATAAAACTCCTTATCTAAACTATGATTTATTACATTTATAAGGTGTATATGTCAAAATGGTTATTCTGGACAACGTTGTGAACGTAGGCCACCGCCATTGGAATGGACTATATGGTCTGCATGGACAGATTGTTCAGTCAAATGTGGTATTGGTGTGCATAAACGTTTTCGTAATTGTTCGTTACCTAATCGTTGTATTGGATCATATGTACAAATTAGTAAATGTCAGGGTCACATATTATTTTGTGAAAATGAAGAGATTAATGAATTAATTCAATCAGGATCAAAAATCATAAAAAGTGTAAGTAAAAATTCTGTTATTTATTTGTATGAGTTAGTGTATTCTCAATTGTCTGATTTACTATTTCATTAATTGATGGACTAACTCATAAACTGAATGATCAATAGTCAAACGGATAGACTGATTGATTGACTGACAGTCAATCAATCAATCAAACATAACCAATTTAGAACCTGATACAAATGTATATCGGTCCAAATCTCCACACTAGATTAGTATATCATAATAAAGTTATCAAGACAAAATCCCAGAATGGTAAAAGTTTCAATAGTATCAGTACAGTTTATAAAGATTAGGTATAGAAAGAAAAAAAAGTATATGGATATTTTGGGGCTCAAATTCTAATGGAAGACAAAGATTGAATGCATTTGTGTTACTGAGTATGATTCTAAGCTATGTCATAACTGCCATCAATTAGTCACTGAGCAAATCATCAGAGCCTGTTTAATTTTATTGCTAAATTTCAGTCTGTAGTTGATGTCCCCTTCCCTTCACGCAATATTTGCAAATATATCCTCTCAACAGAAAAGATACATTAATAACTATGAGTGATATGACCGGGATTAGAAAGTAAAATTACATTTAATAGTTGAATTCATGAGTCAATTGAAGCTAGACCACCATAGAAGACTTGGAAACACTGGACGACCATTTCGTCCTAGCAGTACACATCCACTATCCCATTCGTGGGATTCTAACCCAGGACCTATCGGTCCTATGCACGAACGCTTAACCTCTAGACCAATGAACCGGAATCTAACGGTGTTAATGTCCAACTTCAACCAATTCACTAAATTACATTTCTTCTACTCATTGTGATACTTGATCAACATTATTTCCGTTTTTTTTAATTCAACATAATGGTTATTCAGAGTAATATTTGTTTTGTTTTTCGATTATGATAATTTATTCAGTATAATATTAATTTATTTCAATGTGAAGTTGATTCAAGATACGATATTCTTGTATTAAATCAACATCAACTAGGCTCAGTATGACATGCAGCATGTGAATTTGTTAGAACTTTGGGTATTTTTCATAGATGTGATTTCGTCCTTCTAATTAATAATCGAAATGGGTGTATAAATCAATATATCAATGAATGTCATTTTGACTAGGGTTTTCGTCGTGTTTTAGGGCTAATAAATCTTCATTTGTATCAGTCTGGATGTTCGTGTTTCGTGTCGTGGGGAAATGTAGTGGTTTTTCGTTTTACAAGCATAACAGATAAGCCATTTCAACATAACAATTAGCAAAAACCAGTCATAACAACTGGCGACGCATGCATAACATTTAGTAGTTCATGCATTCCTGAATATTTACCATATGTATATATATATATATATATATATATATATATATATCACTTTGCACCTCAATTATAGATAAAATTATCAACAGTAGTTAGTATGGCAGCTGACGTTCCTGCAGTGTTCAGTGAGATATAATCATTTATTTTCGGATTGTAGCTCATTTAGCTTTGCTAAACATTTCATACTGAATGAATAGAATTCAACCAGTTTCTGTTTAACTATTAGCCTAAATGATTCAGTTTTGTGAGACACTGTATATCACGATTCCTAAATTCATAACATCACTGAAAGTGTTTTTCTATCAACTTATTTACTGTATCCATTTTACACAATCAATAGCTGAAAGAAATCCCTACGTTGCAAACCTTTGGTCAAGATTAAATATATGTCTACATAAGCCATCATATATGTACACATATATTATTGTTATTATTTCTATTCGCATGTTACGTGATTATACGATTAAAACACCATGCTACAGTCCACCCCTCATCTCATGGTGTAATTGTCGCAAGACAACCTGGGGTAATACACATTTATGCCACACTCTAAGTTGATTGTAACTGACTGACCATAGTTTCCTCAATACATGACTGAGATAAACTGTTGTGATTTAATTAAGTGAGTTATACTCGCTTTCATTGAAATGATGAACTGATCAATGTTATTTCACCAATGAATAGTGGTAAAACTCAACAACCTTCAAAGTCCTGTATGTACAGTACTGATAAAATTGTCTTGGTCAAATACGATTTTTTTTATTACACCCAATCTCCTTATTTTTAGGAAAATTTTGGGGAGGCCACCATAGAAACTTTTGGGGAAATGACACAAAAGCCCCAAAATTTCCCGAGATCTCGGGAAATTCTCCAAAATTTTAGGAACCATAGGACATAGGAGAAAACCCCAAATTTTCCTTAAGATAGGGAGATTAAGCAGTAAAGAATTCTTGGCAAAAAATATTTGAAGAATTTGAACAAATTTCTGTTTCGTAAGCGCTTAACAAGTCAATATTCTCAACATATATAAACACGTTCTTCAACTGTTGTTATTACCTATTCATTTTCATTCATAAATGATTACAAACAGTCTAACCACGTATAATACCTCATTGATAGTAAAGTATATTTGAATTCAATATTCTATATGAATTCTATATTTATCACCTCCCATTTCTTTTATAGTTTCATAATAGTTCTATATACAATAGGTTGTAAACATTCAGTTTAATTGAAGAAATTCCATTATTTATCAGGCATAATCAATTAGCTAAAACAAATGTAAATCAGGGTAATTTCTGGCAATAAATAAAAGTGTGGCTAAAAGTGTAGTGTAAAAATGCACTTCCGAAAGTGATTACTGTTGTGACTTTAAGTTGAACTAGTTATCACGTAATTTATTCACCAATCGAAATACAGATTATTCCCTTTTGTACTGTATTAAACCAATGACCTTCTAGCGGTCTGATCAGCCTAGTGTCTTTATTGGTCCTTTGCTCGCCTAGTCCATCCAGTTGAGTCCAGAATACCAACAATAGCTTCCACTATGAGAATCATTTATTTCAGACATTCTGGGTATATATATATATATCAACCAATCAGACCGAAACGCACCATAAAATAGGAAATAACATTTATACACATGTGGTGTTTGAATGAACTAATGACTCCTTTGTACTTGTTGAATGCCTGATTTCGAATTCTAAATACAATACATTCGTTAGTGATTATGTAGTACTTCTTGATTCAACTGCGTTATTTCTGGGATTATTAGTTCTTACCATAATTCAAATACTTCTAATTATCATATTGGCGTCGCGATGGGGCCTGCGATGGAACAGTTAGATATTCATTCAACTTCTGGAGCTTTAGAGGACTATTTGGAAAGGTTTGAAATCTGGAGCATGACCAAGAAAGATGATGAGAATATTAATATTGTGGCACATTTTCTCACATTCATTGGAAAAGAAGCATATATTTTATTAAAAATTTTGGCTTTACCGGAAAAGCCCATTTCTCTTCCTTATACAACTCTCAAGGAACTACTGCTGGACTATGTTAAGTATACAAATACCGAATGCGTTAAAGGGAGATTTCGTAAAACGATTCATGAGGACATAAAAAATTCCACTACATTACGTCACCCCATCCCAGTGCATACTCAAGGTTATGCAGATAATTCATTGAGGAGTTGCAATGCAGTTGACGAGGATAGGCACAAGTTTGGTCAATGTTTGTGCTGTGGCAGGTTCCACTCTTTTAATTCATGTAAATTTCGTAATTCTAAGTGCTTTAAATGTGGTGATGTTGGACATATTCAGTCAGTTTGTGATATTACTGTTCATCTTGCTGCAACCGATATTAAGTCTTGTAATTCTGATTATATTAAGTTGAGTATTTATAATGATCATTCATCTTTATCAATGATTTCAAAAGACAATTTAGAGTCGTATAGCAGTTCAGAGTTAAATGAAACTCAGAATCCTTCCAAGACAACAACTCCTAATCAATCAACCTATCAGATTTCTCATGTTATTGTACCAGATATGATTTTTCCTAATGATTCACATATTTCTAATGAAATTTTTTGTACAAATCTGGTGAAAATATTTCGGATGAACCTAATCATGATCGAAAATCTGATGTAGTTTTGATTGATGCTGATTTTTCTAATGATCCTTTACTCTGCAATGACATTCTTAATAAATTTGAGGAAACTATTTCAGAAGAATCAAATCTTGATGTCATATCAAATATTATTTGTCCTCATGATGCATTTGTTTCTTGTGAGAAACTTGTTCAATGCGAAGCACGAGTATTAAATGAGTTAAATGAGTTTGATTACAATTCAGATAATTCCATATCAACTGTTGCTTGTCCTTATTATAAATTCACTTCCAATGTTTACTCTAGTCAAATTGAGAAAGATGTTTTAAATGAAGTCACATTATTCATAACTTGGGGATATGAAGATCCGACATTATTTTGTGGGGGAGGATAGTCAATGGTTCATATCCTAGGTAGTAGTAGTTTCAGTATTCAACCGGCATGGTGATTGTTCACAATCCCCGAAATCAAATAATACAGAGTCTTTATCCAATACATTGTCGGACAGACACAGTATGAACTTGAGAAGAAGACGTACAATTGATTACAGACACTTAGACTCTAATTTAAGCTGTGATGGATATGGTGTTTGAATGAACTAATGACTCCTTTGTAATTGTTGAATGCCTGATTTCGAATTCTAAATACAATACATTCGTTAGTGGTTATGTAGTCCTTCTTGATTCAATTTCGTTATTTCTGGGATTATTAGTTCTTACCATAATTCAGATACTTCTAATTATCATAACACAATAAAGCCAAAATGTGGCTGTGAACGTGGGAGACTGTAATCAATAAACTGGGTATAACTTAAGAACAGTAAATCATATCATAATAGTCTATTGGTCAAAATAAAGCTAATAATAAGAGGAATATAGATATATATAATCGAATTACTGAATAGTTATACCATAAGAATATATAGATAATATTAGTCCATCAATAGATCTCAGAAGTTACTGGTAAGTTAATCTTCGCTAGGATATAACAATCACGATTTAAATGACAAATAACATACAATAAAAAGAATGATTACTGATTACATAATACTCATATGAATCTACTTTATTTCTTAGTGGGATACAGAATGGTATCTTCATGAAAATTATTCATTAAACGATACACATTATTGGAGTAATTTACATATTAATCAGACAAAGTTTTATTCAACACATCTCCATGTTCCCAATATGATTGGTATTGTGTTAGAATGGATTACAACTATACAATTAACTTATCAATGGACAATAACAGAATTAATAATATTTTATACAATTATAATGATGATATTAATCTCACCAATATATCTAATAATTTTTTGTTTTATTAAATTAATCCAATATGTATTACATAGAAATAGAATTAGGTGTTGATGGAGTTTTGTTCGCTGAACTGGATGATTTGATCGTGGATAGAAGTCTATTTGAAGTTTGTACTGATGATGTCGTTCCGATGAACGATGAAAGCTCCACGATCAAACCATCCAGCTCAGAGAACAATACTCCATCAAAATCATTCACCTGAGCTACAAATCTTTTCCACCATCTCAGAATTAGGTGTAATTGTAAAACTATGTAATCGATTGTAATTCTATTATAAATGAATTCTTATTCAATCACTTCCTAATTTCATGTAAATTTTTGTTATTGTCTAGATATTTGTTTGTAGAAAATTGAATAAATCTATGACATTGCAGTTTCATTGTTCTTCTTCTGAGAAGAAATAAAGTAGATATTTATCGGTCTAACTAACATTTATGTTGGACTATCTATTGAATAAGACTGACCGACTAACTAACTACAACTTACCATAGCGAGACTTCAATTTATGGACGAGCCAATCAGAGGCGTTTTAGAGATTTCAAGGTCATGGCACCAACTTTGTTGCTTAATACTAACGTACGATCGGTTCACATGGAATTTTGTACAAAACGTGATAATTGAGCAGTTATAAAAAATAAAACGGCGGGACTATAATTTGTGGACGAACCAATCAGGTATAAGGTAACAGATCTCGGGTTTTGGCACAAAAGCCTTTCATCCATTTGGCTAAATAGATTTCCGGCATTATAGCTGATGTCATTTCGTGATGAAAACCCCATATATAATTCCTAACTAAGATAAATTATGATGATTATCGTGAACTGGATAATAAAAGCACCAGTAACACTGGCTGAAACCAGGTACTACAATATATACGGATGATTGGAGAGCGTACACACTCCTACGTAGACTTGGTTATGTGCATCGTGTCGTTATCCACAAGTAGCATTTTGTGTACTCAACGTTTGGAGTGCACACAAACAATATTGAAGCTATGTGGTCGAGGCTAAAAGTTTTTGAAACTTTATCATGGCTCCAGATGCCGACTATTCTGTAGCCATATGGATGATTTCCTCTATTGCATGCATTACGATTTCAGTACCTATAAACCTCTTTCTAACATTGACAAGTTTTTGAACCATGTATAAGAAGTGCACCCACTTTATTTCTTTGGTTTTGTATAATATATTTTTACTCCATACTGACTGTTTGCTGGTTGATTAATATTTATCAAGGTCACTTAAGATTCGTTCAAAGGTCGTCCATAAGCTAGAATCTCACTACTTACTGTTATTTGTAAAACTCAGTAATTACATATGACGTATATTGAAGCCAGTAACGTCTCACTCCACCCAAGTAATCCGCTCAGCATGTGTATATCAAAACAAAAACGGATCAGTAATAGTCCTCATTATAAACAACAGAAATTTGCAAACGCTTATCAATACCTCCATGTTCACTGAATAGTTTAGTGGTTATCTCCTCGGCCCGCAATTTGACTCCATTATGAAGGAACAATAAATGAACTATGAACACAAATTCTCCGTTTGATTTCTCATATTTTATTTGGGCGAACTTCGTTTTAGAAAACTCTTCAAACTTTCGTTCGTGCTGCAACTCGGAATACTTTTTCTATCTCTTCTATTCATTTTTCTCTTCGTTTAGTAATAGTCCTACATTCAATTGTTTATGTATACTACTTATATCTGTTCGTATAAGTAGCGTACAACACAGTTTTACAAGTGAGATTATTCAAATTGGTCGATACAGTGAAAGGTATTTTTAAACACATGTAAGATAAAAAATTATGACTAAAATATGGTGATCATCAAATCGTATTTAAGTTATTCACAAACCACTTTTCAAGAAAGGATGTGTTTGCTTGAACTTATAGACCGGTTATCGTGATGTCAATCCTAATATATCATACCTTTACCACTCTGAATATCTATTAAGAACAGCTGCTGCACCCGTTTGTTGTGGGTCAAAGATTGAGGGAACTTTCGATACTAACGCTAACCAGCTGATAATTATCTGAACAGCTGATAATTATCTGAATTATCTAACAGTGACAGTTGCATATGGGACAACCGTAACGGCTGTATAATATGCTATAACATCGTAACATTAGTGCTTAGTTTAAGTAAGCTAAATCTATCTTTGTAAATCAGTTCTTAATACTTCTCATCATATACTTCTAACCTTAACATTATGATAGGCTTGATCAACTACCATCGTATTAACGCTGCCCGATGAACGTAATAGACTGTGATCAATCCTTTAAGGTTGTCGTTAGAATCAATGTGAGACAAGCATTGACATTATCGCTTTTAATAAAAATAATATCATCTAACCCTCACTATTTAAACACTTTTACAATGTTGATACGATTTTCGTCAGAAAATCTTGATTATGAAAAGAAAGTGAAGGCGTAACGAAAAAAATATGCAAGAAATATCTCCAAAGCATTTCATGAGGAAGAATTGCGATTTATTTTTTTTCCACTATTTCGCACCTAAACTTTAGTTAGGTCTCTCTTAACCACACTTCATGACCTTCGGTCATCGTCATCTGAGCTCTCATTATTCGATCTTGGTTAAGGAATCAACTTTGATTGCTCGATCTTACTATTGCAAGTCGCCGTGCAACTGACAACAAGGTAGTTTGACTCAACTCAAGTTCACAGTGTGGTCCTTGTTGAGATTATTTTTATTGACTCTCAGGTGCCTAATGTTTTTGCTGTTAGGCACGTTATCTTATGTTAGAGAAACCTTTGACTGTATAACACAGGCTGTACCGTTGAAGATATTTGTAAATCTGATATAATGTGTTTTCTTTATTTAACTAGAACCGTTTAAATTAAACACGGGGTTATAGATTAACACGACTCATTCAAAAACGCTTCGCACACTATACAGAAGAACATAGATTGATCTAACTTTGTTTCGTTAGTTTTGCATTCAGACTGAATGCTGAGATTTCAGTCATTACAGAGGTTCGAAAGGCGTAACTAACTACACATGAGCATTCAAAAGTGTAAAATCAGAAGTAGAATTATTTGTCAGACTCGTAGACATACACACACTGTTTACAAAGCGATGTCTATAATTGGTTATGGTTATGATGTAAGGTGCAAAATATATAAAGGAAAGAACTCCCAAACAGTTTTATATGTTTTAAGATACTTCCAAAAATGTGTTATCTTCTTTTGTTCTGAACCTAGTTTTGAATATACACAGATTCTTCTGAATGTAATCATCGTATGGTATGTCTTATTAGGATATCATCTAAGCTGTGCAGTAACTGAGTTCGTATACTCAAACTATATTCAGTATAATGAGCTTATTTGTATAGATTAACTGTTTGGCTCGTTCTGGTTAAATACTTCTGAAATGCTTCAGTTAAACATCACAACTTCGAAGTCCTAGTGTTTTACAGCTTCTCAGACTGTCCCTTGCTAAAGAGATGACATTTATTTCAATGCAGACAAGATCTTACCAAGTAGAATTATATTTTAATAAAGGCAGAAAAGAAATATATGGTCAGAGTATAAATTCAGGCCGCTATACATGAAAACCATATGAAATCAGATGATTAATCTTGACCCTCACAATTCATGGCAAATGCTCTAACGTTCAACGATGTGTCATCCTACGAAGGGATTCATTCATTATGGCAGACGATTTAGCTAAGTTCCAATCTTAATTCGCCTCAATCACAGGTTCATTACTTATGTTTCCATTCTGAATTCATTTTCATCGTAACTAGGAGTGATCATCCTGTTTCATCTTATATAGCTTCTAAAAGCACGCAACATCTTAGATTCTCTGTTGTAACAGACTTACATACAAAATAACCATCTGTTTCGACCATGATTAAGTTCCAAAATGTGTCAAAGTGTCATAGATTTACTCAGAGCTAAATTTAAGGACAAAATTCAAGATATAACGATTTGTTTAAATGCGTCACATTCTTAAATTATTAAGGCAACAGTTTTATGACAATTACAAAAAGATGTCGAAGGCCACATTATGGAATAACATATTATCAGGTTAGTTGTATTGAATCTAATAGTAGTAGTCAGTTGAGTTTTCATGTCAAGATAGTCGTTTCAAGTCGAATCAAGCCACTTCATTCGGGAAATACTTTCAGCAAAACATACATAACCAATTAATTGGTTACTTAAGTTTTGTTCCTTGTTTTGTGGTTATAAAAATACTAACAAATATTTCGAGTTCTCGGTTCAAATAAATTGACATTTTTGCACAACATTTTGGTATGTGATCATCTTACGTATCAAATTTTTACATGGAATCTTATTTTTTCTAGTTGGTACTTCGAAATACCAAATCAAGTTATTCAGCTTGTCATTACACTAACTCATTAAAAATGTTTTCATCTGTAGACTTAATTCAGCACTTCCATGCTATTTACTGGTTTGTAGTACGTAAAACTGTACACTTTGAGCTGCATATTCTGTGCTTCAAAGGGCTACAAAAGTATGATAGCGTTTCAATTAATTTTGCTAAATCTTGGGAACTGTCTTTGTAAGGCTGATTAAGAATGAGTGTTGTTTAGGCACGGTCTTGTGAGTAAATATTAATATTTACCATACTTTTAGTGTAGAAGTAACGGACATCGGTAAAGTAACAATCTGAATATCACTGTCGAGAATAAGCCGTGAACATTCCAGTTTACATGACCTACATTAATATTGTCGATCCTAGTTCTGTTGATTTCGTCGCATCTGACTTATTCGATATCTTGAGTGCATTATTTTGGATAACAGCTTCTGAAGCAGATGTTCATAGCTTACTGTTTGTATCCGTAATCTCTCAGGTAAATGGATTCTAATCTGTGATCAAGATGATGGTTCAGTGATCCTCCTTGCTTACATAAACAATGAATAACATGAACTAGTTTAGACCTCCTAGGACTAGAAATTGTTACATATTGTTGGCTTTTGACCAATTTATAATACTGCATTGCTTCTACACTTAAGAGCTTCTAGACAGACCACCAAAGCGAAATTTTTATCGTTTCCTCAGCGTTCTTTTTTTCCTATTTCATTTGGCCGTTTTTAGATAATGTCACTTAAACGCATATATAAGGACAGACTCGGATTTTTTATACCTCAGGTTTACAAGTTTGTTGTTGGAAACTCACGATTCTTAACGTAAGACGACGCTACTTTTGCCCGATTCATTCCTTAAAACCATTAAATAATGGAACTAACTAACCTCCCCAAAGGCGATTTGGTTATTACAAATCTGACACCCCCCTTTTTCAATATCTGCCCTGCCTATTAGGTTTCATTTTGTAGCTATTCGAAGTTTGCGGAAAGTAACATTTATATTGCAGAAAACTAGTGGTATTTGAAGTAATTGAGGAACTAGCATTTCATAGAACTACCCAGTACGAACTGTGACAGTTACGACTAGAATTCAACTGAAGATAAAATACACGACAAGCTCGCTCAGATACATTATATATTGAAATTAAAGTATACACATCTATCATTATTTGTGTACAAAGTTTGCAACATTTTGCCCGTCTAAGAAAACCGGTTTATTATGATTTATGTGCTAATTATAAAAATTTGTCCCTTCTCAAAGTGGTACTTGCTTTAGCTCTAGCTCTGACATCGTGAAATGGTTTACAAGAATTTTTACTTACTAAGTATTCAATTTTTGCTGTTATTTTAGAAAATGTATGTATACAAAGAATCACACAGACATTAAACATTATTTAAGATAGGATTTATTATGCCTATCACATTTAGTCATGTGTGTTAAATGCTTAAGTGACTTGTATCCGAATGCGGTGACGCATAACAAAATATAAAGACTAGCAATATTGATTTACTTGACCTAATACATAAATAAAAATGTTTATGAACTCACTACCTTTAACGCGAGTGACTTATGGTCAGATTCGTATAAGTTGGTTTGAGGATTGTTTAACGTCAACAAGTCAATAACTTACTGTGTAAACACATTTACGAAATCACACAAATACGCACTCTTTTTTAAAATGTAACTATACGTTACAGATAATTGGTGGAAGTCGATTTCACGTTCTACTCACTTCATAATCAATTAAGTCATTGTTTGTTACATCAGTATTATTGGCATTTGTATTGTTCCTTTTGTTAGAAGTCGATGATCTGTTTAGAATACTTGGTCGAAAATTATCAGGCTTTTGAGAGTTTTGTTCTCTGAGTTGGATGGTTTGGCCGTGGAACTTTCATCGTTCTTCTGAACGACATCATCATCACAAACTTCAGATAGAAGTGAAGTGTTCGAATTTCTTCATATGCGTTTCACAGCTTGTTGTGTACATCTCGATGTTGATTGGTTCTTATTAACCTTAAATTTGTTATTGTTTCCTCCCTTGTTTTGGTTGTATCTCCCATTGGTCTGATTCTTGTTCCTATATTTGTGCATAATTTTCTTGATTGGTTGATAAATTGGATCGACTTTTATGTGTTTTTTGATTGCCAATTGAATCAAGTGCCAGGCTTCTAAAAATCCTCTAGTGTTTTTGGAATTTCCTTTGTCCAAGATTTCCACCTTTTTCCAATCGAATGTGTCTCCGCAGTTGTCCACGTGTATTGATATAAGTGAGGAAATATCATGACGTTTGACTGCTAATTGATGTTCATTTAGGCTATGGTGAAGGGGGCGTCTGCTTTGTCCGATGTAGTGTTTGTCGCAGTTGACACAATTTATTTTGTAGATGATATTTGATTTATCTTCTTTTATTATTTCATCCTTTGGTTTTCATAGGATTTATTGTAGTGATTTTGTCGGTTTGTGTGCCACACCTATCCCGAAGGTTTCTAGCAGTCTCGTTGCGACTTCTGATATCCCACTTATGTGTGGTAGGGTGTTCCTTTTGTTGATTTTTGTGCTTGACTTGGGTTCTGATACTCCATGTGGTTGGTATTTTTCGATGAAGTTGATTGGGTAGCCGTTCTTTTGAAATACATCTTTCGAGTATTTCTATTCCTTTCTTCGTGCTGTCAGTGTGCTGCAGTGTATCATCGCCCTCTTGAATAAAGTGTGTACGCAGTTGATTTTATGTGCTCTTGGGTTGTTGCTATTGTAGTTAAGAATTTGATCTGTATGGGTCGGTTTCCTATATACTTGAGCTTCTAGTTTTCCTGTGTCGGTTCTAGTGATTAATATATCCAAGGATGATAGTTTATTATGTGACTCCAATTTCATTGTGAACTTGATGTCATCAAAGACGTTGTTAATCAGCTTGTAAGTGTTTTCCAGCTCGTTATTTTTGACGATGACGAATTTGTCGTCCACACAGCGAATCAAAATTTGTGACTTGATCACTGGTAATATCGCGGCTTCTAGTATTTGCATCACTGCTTTTGCGATCAGTCCTGATATTGATGACCCAGTTGGTGTCCCTTTCGTTTGTTCGTGGATTTTGTTGTTGAATTGAAAGTATGTTGTTAGGAATGAGTCGATTAGTTCTAGTAGACTTTGAATTTGAAGCTTTGTGTACTTTGTGAAATTTGTTTCGTTGGCGAGGAGCAGGGATATAGTTTCTTTTGCTAACCTTGGTTCAATTGAGGTGAATAGTGCTGTTACATCGAAGGATATCATCAGGTCGTCGTTGTTGATTTGAATGTCCTTAATTTGGTCCAGGAATTGTGTAGGGGATTTAATGGAGTGGTTGGATGAATCGACTAAATGTTCCAGTATTCGTCAAATTTCCTTTGACAAATTGTATGGTGGCGTTCCGGATGTAGTAGAATGTTTGGTTTGTGTATTTTTGATCTGCGGTAGAATCGAGGGAGTACTGGTCCATTGGATTTCATTCTTCATTGGTCTTGTTTTGTTATTTCTCCTGCTTTGACTAGCTTGTTTAGTCTAATTTTTCTACGGGATTTATATCCATCAGTTTGTATGTGTTCTTATCTTCAAGTAGTTCTTCGGCTTTTTTGATGTATTCCTCCTTGTTCATAATTACTGTTGTGCGTCCTTTGTCCGCTTGAACTATGACAATATCCTTTCTACTTCTAAGTTCCTTCAAAGCTTTTTGTTCTTGTGGGGTCAGTTGGTTGTTTTTCTTCACCAGTTGCGTTAGCGGTACTATAGTTTGCCTTATTTCTTGATGTGTTTCTTGACTGATTCCAGAAGTTCTGAGTGATGACTCTAGTGATGCGAAGAACTCTTGTTTTGAGGCGTCGCTTGTGTTGTAGTTTAATCCTTTTTGGAGTAGGCGTTCTTCCGTGTTTGTTAGTGGTTGTTTTGATAGATTGATCACGCAGTTGTTTGTGTTTTCTTCCTTGTGTGGTTTTGAGATCTTGATTAGTTTCTTCTTTGTCCTCTGTGTCGTTTGCATGATATCTAGATGGCTGTTGTCAAGATTTCGAAATGTTCTAACGTGAGTGTGCAATGGGAGACACAACCAAAACAAGGAAGGAAACAATAACAAATTTAAGGTTAATAAGAACCAATCAACATCGAGGTGTACACAACAAGCTGTGAAACGTATATGAAGAAATTCGAACACTTCACTTCTATCTGAAGTTTGTGATGATGATGTTGTTCAGAAGAAAGATGAAAGTTCCACAGCCAAACCATCCAACTCAGAGAACAAAACTCCATCAAAATCATCCACCTGAGCTACAAATCTTCTCCTCCATCTCATAATCAGGCTTTATTTCTTAACTGGTATCTAACTATTCATTTCTTTCTTCTAGAAATATATATTTTAATAAATATGGCAGAAAGACGATAGATCTGATCCAATTAACAACTTATCGTGATAAAATATTATTCAAAGTAGTTACTTACTTACTTACTTACTTACGCCTGTTACTCCCAATGGAGCATAGGCCGCCGACCAGCATTCTCCAACCCACTCTGTCCTGGGCCTTCTTTTCTTGTTCCATCCAATTCTTGTTCATTTTTCTCATATCTATCTCTATTTCCCGGCGTAATGTATTCTTTGGTCTTCCTCTCCTCCTTCGACCTTGAGGATTCCATATGAGGGCTTGTCTTGTGATGCAGTTCGGTGCTTTCCTCAATGTGTGTCCTATCCACTTCCAGCGCTTCTTCCTGATTTCTTCCTCCACTGGGATCTGATTTGTTCTCTCCCACAGTAGGTTGTTGCTTATAGTGTCCGGCCAGCGGATCTGAAGTATTTTGCGTAGACAACTGTTAATAAACACCTGTATCTTTTGGACGATGGATTTCGTAGTTTTCCAGGTTTCCGCGCCATACAGTAGAACTGTCTTGACATTTGTATTGAAAATTCTGACTTTATTCAAAGTAGTTAGCAATAACAATTTTGATCAGTTTAAAGAAGCTAAGTACCATTGATCAAATTTCTTGAAATAATACTAATTAAGAATAATTTCAGGGCAAAAATGACATCATGTTTTTAAAGCAAAGATATTTATTATAACAGCTAATTTTCTTTTTATTCATTTAGTAAAACCACTTGTGTTAAGTTCGAAACTTGTTTTTTATCGATTTTTCATTTCCACATTGTGAGATATTATAATAACTTTAGTTTCCCCACTTGCGTGAAGGGTTTCAAATCTTTGTATTATCTTGTCTGAGTATGTTAACATATATCCACCTCAACAAATTAGCTTGATATTTCTTTAAATAAGAATTCAGAGTGTTTCATGACGTCTATAATTAGCTACAACTTTGCTTTCTAGATTAATAATGTGTAAACTGATCTTGATTTTAAATGGGTATTAACAGTAAATCATTTCAAATGTTGTTTTAGATTCTCAATTAGAAAAATATGGTTTAATCCCTGAAGAAGTTTACAAAAATACAACTTTAAGCACTGATTCATTTCAAACTCTTCAAGTAATATTCAATATTGTAAATGAGAACAGAATTAAATAAAGTCCTTCAAATTATCACCGGAAAATTCATGTGAGCATGATCAACATACATCTATAGATAATGCATTATTGAAGCCAAATTCAGATTATGCAAAAAAATGTAAGTTAATCAGTCATATTTCACTTGGTGTTGTTTTACTTGTATCTTCCCATTGTTATTTGGGACTGCGATTGATAAGTCTCATGTTAACATATGTGCATCCTGTGCAGATTGCCTCTATATAGCCTTAAGTCACAAGCTTTTTAAGCAAAAGTGGGTAGTGAGTAGCAGTGAAATCCATAACGCACGTTTCGTCCTATTCGGAGCTTGTTATTTGGATGTACCTGCATCCCAGAGTTGCACATATACCAACAAGAGACTGATCAGTTGCAATCCTAAATAAAAATGGGACGATACGAGTAAAACAACACCAAGTGAATTTAAACTTCACCCCATTGCACAAGGAGGTGGCTATCAGGAGTCAGTAGCTAAGTGAATAACGCGATGCGGTTTGAAGCGAACGGTAATGAGTTCGAGTCCCGGAGTGAATATCAACTCTGGGATGCAGGTACATTCATCTGACGAGTCCCAAATAGCACGAGGCGCGCGTCTAGCCACTATCCATCTTTGCTTAAGGAGTCAGTCATATTTCTTTATAAAACGCATATTTTGAAAATGTTGTGTAATCATTAGGGGGGGGTCAGGATTTTAACATGATCGACAGCATATACATCGAAACATTTTTGTTACACTATAATAACTAGTTTTGTTAGATTAATTTATACCTATATCATTCTCTTATCTTATTCAAGAGTAATTAAGACAGAAATAAATAAATCAGTAATGAGTTATCTATTATAACCTTATCCACTCACGCATAATTCTGATTCAGTTATTAAGATAAACGTACAATTCACCCGAACTTGATTAATACAATAACAGACTGAAAATAAGAACTACACAAACTAAACATATCAATAATTTTATGAACTTCAGAACATTTTGTATCCATAATGAAAACATTTTGTGGTTTTATCAATTAGAGATCATATCGTGATGATAGTGAGAATGATAATGATAATGATTACTGCAAAATTTACCATCATTGCAAACGTTTTTATTTTATAGGTGAGGAGTAACCAAATCATAATATATGTCATTAGGCCACAAAGTTGTTGACCCTTGGTTTAAACCATGTCAGTAGTTGAAGAAGTCCTAGTCAGCATTGTGACCATTGGTTAGCAAGACATAAAACCAATCAGAATGGCTAAGATCCATTTATTCTTTATCTTTTCTAAAGTGTTAGAATTTAACCACATTTCATTCCTTTTATGAACCATGTTCTATAAACTAAGCATTTTCTTTCTTAATCGTATACACTAATGTTGGTTAGTTTTCTTTTCACTACACTTCTTATCAATTTAATCTATCGGCGTTAATTATAAAGTATGTTCAAGCTTGAACTGCAGTATATTTGTAATGACTCCATTTTCATTAATGACTAACTTCTTAGTGTTATACGTTTACATTATAAACGCTACGGGCGACTATAACTTCCATAACATATTAATAAAACTGTTAGTAATGTGACATGCTTTTTTTTAAAAGGTAACCAACCTGTCAGGTCATAAAAATCAATAACGACGATAAGGAAGAAGCATCCAATGTATATCACAATATCACAGTATTACAATTACATCACTACTAAGAGAATTAATATTGCTAGTAATATTACAAGACATTAGACTACACATCGGATTATCAACAGTTTAATCTTGTCATAAAATAATGATATAACTTATGAAAGTAAACTCGGTAGAGTCTTTCTATGGCTTGCAAATTAAGGATGGAAGAATCTTTAGATATTCAATATATACTCTGGTAGATAAGAATAAACTAATTCATGTAGACAGGAAATGACTTATAAAACACATGAATCTAATAAATTATAGGATGTCTTTTTATCAATAAACACACATATCAGAAGGGGTTTTGTGGATGTTGTAGTGATTTCAATGATTAAGATCATGAGTCAATTGAAGCTAGACCACCATGGAAAACTCCGAAGCGCTGGACTGCCGTTTTGTTCTAGTGTGGGGCTCCTCAGCAGTGCGCATCCACAACCTCGCCCCCTGCGAGATTCAAACCCAGGGCCTACTGGTTTCGCGCGCGAGTGTTTAACCACTAGACCACTGAGCCGGCCGGCATCCAACGGTGTTAATGTCGAACTTTAATCAATCCACAAATATCACATACAACTGTTTAATGCTACCTGATTTTCATCAATTCTCAAAAATGATTTAAATTTACCCATTGTTATAATTCTTTCTCTTACGGTTATAACCCAGCTTTCCCTATTGCTTAGTATTCACGGACACAGATTCACTCGACAAGGCCCCAAATCAGAACACGGTTGAGCAGGAGGGAGATTATATTCCAAATAACAAGGTTAGATGGAAGTAAGAAGCACAATAGGAAAAACGTCAGTATATTTATGGTTTTTACATGAGAAGATTCCAGAGTATTCTCCAAGCATCGGCTAGCGCTGATTGGATAAGAATCAGCCAATCAGCGTGCGCCAACACAAGCGTGCAATGAGCATGATTTAATCCATCAAGTCACCAAACATTTGATTTAACGTAAAGAGATTCTGATTATATATGTATTGCCTTCGTTTCATAAACTCCTTCCTTTCATAACTATGGATCTAAAATGAATGTAATAAACTCCTGATCATAACTTAATATATTATTCTTTGAAAAAACATCCAGGTGACACTATGATTTGTGTACGACATTTGAGCGACGCTAGACTGATCTTAAGATTGTCCACCTAATAACTAGGATCAAATGAGGGTTATAAAACAGTAGGAGGAATTAGAATGATAACTTACAGTTGATGATTAAGGTTAGGAATTAGATTTCGTGTTTTCATCACGAATTGACATCAGCTATAATGCCAAAACTCAATTGATCCAAATGGATGAATGAATTTCGCGCCAAAATTCAAGACATGTTATCTTAAATCTGATTGGTTTGTCCATAAATCCAATCTGTTTATAAACGTATATTTTATCATATATTTAATTTTACGGTTTTAAAAATAAACACGTTAGAGATTATTATCTAAATGGCAACAGTTCATGAGGATAACTAACTTAAGTATGATAATTGACTTGAGGTGATTCCGATGTAAAGTTTTGATTGTAATAGTTAAGATCATTAACACTCATGTTGTAGTCGAATAATGACAATGCTTAGAAATTATCAGTGTAAAGTCGAAAACCAGTTAGTATTCACATTAATTAATTTATACAACCAATTCAAAATTACTCATCAGTACACGTGTTTTCATCTCATTTCATTCACTGATTCCGCATACTTCAAATTGCATATAATCGAGAACTTACTTACTTACTTACTTTCGTTTGTTACTCCTCGTGAAGAAGCATAGGCCGCTTACCAGCATTCTCCATCCAACCCTGTCCTGGGCAATTCTTTCCAGCCTCAAACTCTCCTAGAGTTACAGCTGGTCCCAAGTTCGGATAAAGGAGGGGGGTTGGGCATGGGGTTAGCGTCCTCATCCCGTAGAAAACTAACTCGCTAAAAAAACGCTAACCAGAAAAAACAACTCATAACCGAGAACAGTGGTCAATTTTTGTCAAGTTCCACGATACTAACAGATATTTCGATAGGTTCCAATCAATACTAAGCATATGATACCAAATCACATCATATTGACTATTACTACTAGTATTCAGTGATCAACTAGTTTATAAATTATATTTTTTTAAATTATGAAATACATAAGTTAACTGGATTAGATTTATTAGAATTCCAACTCTCATCATCATAAGGTTTAGGCTAGAAACCTATATTTTATTGGAACTCAATTATATGTGCTTTAGCATATAATCCTGTTCATCAGATCTTCATATTACAACTCTTTAACCAATCAATATTTTGAGTAATAAAAAAGTACCTTATCATGATTGTTTATGACTATCTATTGTGGACCATGGGGTGGCTACTCTAATTTCTACCGACTGACCAACTTCAGATATCCCAGTACGACCCCAATACCGTTCCCCAATCTCAAATATATCAGAACACAAACCGTTAGATGAAAATTGTTTATGGAGTCAGGAGAAGAATAAGAATAAGAATAAGAATTTACAGACAAATGCATATTTATACAGTTAAGACTACCGTGAATATTGACCAATAGGAAAATGACACCATTTCACGTTCAAGAATAGTATTAGGCTTAACAGGATAATTTTTGGGATATTTTTCTGAATATCCCAACACTATCTTCACCAAATAATATTTCTAATGTTAGATGTTATATTTTTTTACCTGTCAGTTGTAAACATCGATAGGAAATTTAGAGTGTAGTTCTTTCTAATCATATTTTTATCACTCAACATTTCAGAATAAATGAAAAAACTATTTCAATTATTGAGTGCATGAATCGATTAAAGCTAGACCACCATGGAAAACCTGGAAGCACTGGATGGCCGTTTCACTAAGTATGGGATCCCCAAGCAGTGCCCACCAACGACCCTGCGTCGCGGGATTCAAACCCAGGACCTACTGGTCTCACGCGCGAGCGCTTGACCACTAGACGACTAAGCCGGTCGGCATCCAACGGTGTTAATGTCTAACTTCAACTAATCTACGAAATTGAACATATCCACCATTGTCATCAGTGAGTTACTATCTCACAACTGACCCGGTTGAACTCCACTGATTACTGCTTCTCACTAGAACTCCAGGATATCCATCTTGAAGCCAGTCACTAGTGAGCATATGTCGATTAGTACCAGAAGGGGTTTTGTGGAGATTTTAGTAATTTCAATTGTTGTGTTCATGAGTCAAATGAAGTTAGACCACCATGGAAAACCTGTTTATATTTATTTTTCCCTTTCTAATAGGTACTCCGAAAGAATATTTAAAACGTTTCATATTTCCTATACTTTTGCCTGCTATGGAAGCAATGCTTGAACAAGCAAAACGAAGTCGTTGTTTTGAGGTATTGTCGTTTTACATATAATTTTTACATAGTTCCCTAAAATTGATATGTAATTTTTTTCTACACATTTTAGTCTACTGAAATTAGCTAATAAGTAGCTTATGTAATAAGCGCATCGGTTTCTATCGAGTGTTTTAATAAATGATAACAATTATATATTTTTCAAACAGATTCAAATATTAATTTGGTAGATATTTATGACAAGGAAGAATTTATGTCTTCTAAGAAGATATTTGAAATCATAATTCATGTCCAAACGTCATGGAACTGAAAAAGTATTATCCATTGACTTTTGAGCGTATCCAAAACATCGTAAACGATTGAAAATATGACTTTTGAGCTTCTCGCAGAGTACGTTACCTTTAGACCGCTTATTCGGTATCTAATAGTTTCCAGTTTAAACTTTAGTCATATTGTGATATAACTTTATGATTATCTAATATCATCAGTAATGAATGACTTACTTCTAATATCGTTGAATTTCATAGTCATGGCATATTTTCTATGAGTTATTAGACACATAATTGGTGATTGTCGAAATGTATATTTCTTCATCTAGAATGAATTGTAATGCTAGTCACTCAAATTTCACTGGTTACGTATTTCCAAACTTTTCTAATATTTAAATAAGAAACTTGATTTTAACTAGATATGAAATTCACTAAGAAACCTAGATAAAGGTCTTGGGAATGAAGCACGGAAGATATTCTTAGACGATAACATAAACAAGAAACTAGAATCCAGTTATAATATGTTGACTGAAATGGGATAACTCAATAATTGTGTATTTCATGGGTAGAACTGACCTACTAACATGATGTTAACTGATGTGACTTTTAAGAGGAGACGCTGAAGTAGTTAATATATTTTGTTGCTTTGAGTAGATGAGATGTTGTAATGCAACTGTTATAACTTTTGACCTGTGTGCTCTGTCAATGTATAACGTAACAATACTACCAATTAGAGAACAATGAACTATCGATCGGACCAGTGGCGCATAAAACGCGATGCGAGCGGTCTAGAGTCCTGATTGGTCCTGCTTTCCGCCTAGCCCAGCCAGTATAGTCCAGAACAGCCTCTGCAATATGAATCATTTATTTCAAACTGCCAGGTTTGAAGCGGTTACGAGTTTTCTTAGACCGCGAACGGAACAAAACTTAGTGACCAAAAACCAATAAACTAGTTATTCTGATGTGTCCCAGCCTTGCTAACTAGAGAAAGAGCTCCAAGCTTGGAATGGGGAAGTATATTCCATTGTTCTTATCGGGATATAGCCGTAACAAATCATACAATACAATGTATATAGTGTGGAAACACATGTGTGACAAAAAATATTCCATAAACAAATAATCCTAACTTATATATCCATTACTTCCTCTCATTTGATAATCTATTTACAATAAGTTTGTTCTTATTTTGTTTAACTTTTCATTGACGTGAAATGATTCAAGTATTACTTGCGTATAACAACACTTTTACGATTAGTTTCGATTATGGTCAATTTTTGGTTAAGCCCTTTTATTAATGTGTTTAACAGACAATGTTCTTCGAACAGTAATAATTCGTCTATTTCTTTATATTATTATGATCACTATTATATCTGTATAAACGAGTATGCTAGATCACATGTAATAGCTTACTCACATCTCTCTCTCCCCCCGAACTAGATCGCTTAAATATTACTCAATGAATCATTCACTTTCCTATGTATGTGCTCGAATCCTATTAATTGCCTTTGCCTTACCTCGTTTCCCCGTGATTCGATTCACCTGTGTATTCGCTCACTCACATACCATAGCATCTCTGCTCCAAATTTACTCGTTGTACTTATTACTTTGTTATCTATGCTATCCATTAATGAATTGTAGTTGCCGCTTCTTATTGCCATCTGAGTTTATACACTGTTAGGATTTTGTTATGTCCCGATAATTTTTAGGATCCGTTTACGGACCAATACTATGAGCATATTTTTATCGTAAAATTGTTAAATAACTAGACTGTTCATATTCATGTGCCTCTTATTATAAGCTTTATTTTGACCTATGAACTATTATTATACGATTCTCCATTCTCGAGTTATGCCCTGTCTATTAATCACTACCTCCCACATTCACAACCACATTTGGCCAAATCCTGTACAAATGTTGTTTTCATATTTTATGGTACGGTGTGGTCTGTCTAGTTGGTATATAAACCTGGTATACTTAAAATAAATGACTCATATCGCAGAGGATCGGATTGGTGTTCTGAACTTAAAACAGATAAGGCTAGGCCGGAAGCAGGACCGATGTGTACTCTAGACTGCTCTCAGGGGTTTTATGCGTCACTGGATCTGATCGATAATTCACTGCTCTCTAATTGGTGGTATCATTTGGTTATACAATAAACAGGTCACATAGGCCACAAGATATAACAGATTTATATACAATAAGGGTTATCAAAGAAATTAATACCTAAGTCACTATATTATTCACATTTTATTATTAATTATTGATACTTTAAATTTTAATAATGAACAATTGAAAGTTTAATTCAATCATTATTTAAGTTGTTTTCTGATTGGTTCATTAATTTATTTTTACTGCTATTTGATTGGATTATCAAGGTCACTAATCAACTCACCTTTATAGGTCACTAGATTTAAATTATTTGCTTTATATATCTTGTATTTAAATGTACTTTGTAATACTTTAACAATTTTCATACTTTTAAAAAGTATATGTGGCTGTAAATACAAAAAAATGATTTACAATAATTTCTGAATGGGTTTTGTGGAGATTGTAATAATTTCAATGGTTAAGATCATGAATCAATTGAAGCTAGACCACCATGAAAAACCTGGAAGTACTGGACGGACGTTTTGTCCTATTGTGGGACTTCTCAGCAGTGTGCACCCATGACCTCGCCCCCTGCGAGATTCAAACCCAAGACCTACTGGTTTCACGCGCAAGCACTTAATCACTAGACCACTGAGCCGGCATCCGACGGTGTTAATGTCTAACTTCAACTAATCCACGAAATTGATCGACACATGTTGGTCTAGCTTCAACTAACTCATGATCTTAACCATTGAAATTACAATAATTTCTATTTATATGAATAAAAATATATTCAATATAAATAAAGATAAATGTTGGTTAGCAAATAGAATCCATGACGCATATTTCGTTCTATTTGGGACTCATCAGCTAGATACTCTTGCATTCCTTGAGTTGATGTTCACTGTAGGACTCGAATCTAGTCATTATCTTATGCAATGGGATGAAGTGTATATCCATTTTGTATTGTTTGTTTAAATCTTCCCATTGATGTCTCTTGTTGACATATATGTACATCCTGTGTGAATTCCCTCAATCTACCCTTCAGTTAATAGCTTAATTTTATAGAAATCTTAAGATAATTAAAAGATATTAAACAAAAAATCCATTAGCTTTTATTCTTCTAATCATAAGAAAATAACTCATTCCACCCATTTTAATGTCTTCATTATTATAGAATACATTTTAATGCTTAGATATATGATAAAATCATTCATCTCTTTTGTAAGTATCTCTATAATAGAACTTTCAATATGAATGATTGTGTTTTATTGTCTGAATTTAGTAAGAAGATAACTTTTTTTAAAGTTATGTATAACAATGGATAATATAGTGTTGTGACTTTAAGTCACGTACTTTATTCGTCAATCGAAATACAACTTATTCACTCTTATACTGTACTATGCTATGTTTGAAGCGATTATGAGTTCACTTAGTCTGCGAACGGAACAAAGACTTGCGACCAAAGACCAATAAACCAGCTCTTCTATTGAGTATCAGCCCCGCTAACTAGAGAAAGAAGTCGAAGTCCGAACGGGGAAGTATATTCCACAAAAAGCCAGAAGCACGAGTGATAACAACAAACACAAATCAAAACGTATATGTACAGCACAAAACTGTCCTTAGGAAGGGTTACAAAATAGCATACTGAAAGACACAATGGACCAATAGCGTTTAAGATTCTCCCAAATGGGAAATACGACATGAAGGTGAAGAGAGCACTTTTGGCGCGAAAACAAAAAAATTCAAATTTTCAAAATAAAATTACAAACTAAGGTTTTTTTTCCAAGTGAGTTCTGGGAATCTAACGTCCCCAACACTAAACCAATAATGTTTGACCTGTATGATCTGTCTAGCGTCCTTATTGGTCTTTTTCACGGCTAGCCCGTTCAGTTGAGTCCACAACACCAATAACATCTCCCACTATGAGAATCATTTATTTCAAACATACTTGGTTTATATACCAGCCAAACAGTCTGCATCGAACCATAAAATAGGAAATGACATTTGTATAAGATCAAGCCAAAAAGTGGCTGTGAATGTGGGAAACCGTAATCAATAAACTGGGTATAACTTAAGAATAGTAAACCGTATCATAATAGTCTATAGGTTAAATGAAAGCTTATAATAAGAGGAATATAGATATACATAATCTAATTACTGAATAGTTATACCATAAGAATATATAGATAATATTAGTCCATCAATAGATCTCAGACTTTACTTGTAATGTAATCTTCACTAGGATATAACACATAGAATAAGCAATTGATTTGACTTACTGATTTACGATGTTTTGATATAAATGATAATATGTAATAAATTTATGTAACCTACCTCATGTTATTGGAATAGTTAATATATAGAAACAATGAATAATGTAAGTTTTAATCATTGATTAAGTACAGATAAAAATAGTAATTACAATAATCTCACTGGTTGAAATCATGAGTCAATTAAAGCTAGACAACCATAGAAAACCTGGAAGCACTGGACGGCAGTTTCGTCCCAGTGTGGGACTCACCAGCGGTGCGCATCCACGATCTCACCACCGCGAGATCCGAACCCAGGACCTATCACAGCCTCGCGCCAGTTGCTTAACAAACTAGACCACTGAGCCGGCCGGCATCAAACGGTGTTAATGTTTGACTTCAACCAATAATCACTGTGATCAATTAGAAATAAGCATGAATCGATTTTACCTTTGTAACAACTTCTATCAATCTGTTATTGATAATGCAAAATTTGTAACTATACCTGTTATCAATTAAACTATATTCAACAAATTTCTCAAGTAGGAACACTATGATGAAAGGTTGTTCATTTATTTCATTGTTTGTATTTTCCTTAAGAAAAAAGCATTTCTTATAACTGTGAGACTATAATTTATGGATGATCTTTGAGCAACGCTAAAATGACTTTGAGAGTATCCTTCTACCTAATAGGTTTAGATGAAGGTTATATATTACTGTTGGGAATTAGAATTAGAATTTACAGTTGAACATTAGCGTTAGGCATTAAATTCAATGTTTTCATCATGAATTGACATTAGTTATAATGCCAAAATGGATTTCAACCAAATGAATAAAAATCCAAGATCTGTTATCTTAAATCTGATTAGTTCGTCCATAAATTATAGTCTCATCTTTGTAACTCACAGAACAATTTATAGTGAAGTTCCCACTGATTGCTTCACTGTTAATAGATAAAGTCAAAACGTAGTTAATACTATCGCAGGCAAATAAATAGAATAAATTATTCATTGATTAATTGCTTTGGGGAAAAGGGAATTGTCGTATATACATATATATGTGTCTTGTTTCCAGTTTCTTAGTGTAGCCTAATAATTTTACTACTTATAGTAAGTGCGCTATCAAATGAAATGGTTTAACTTGAGTTTCGTAGTTAGTAATTTCAAAACAAATGAAAGATGGTCAAGTAATATCATGGACTGACTGGAGTTACACTTCCACACAATAGGATGCCGGCTTAATGGTCTAGATGTTAAGCATTCACGTTCGAAGCCGAAGGTTCTGAGTTGAATTCTTAATTTCGGGATCATGGATGAATAAAGCTGAGGAACCTCAAATTCAGTCAGTCAGTCAGTTACAACGTAGTACCAGGGACATACATGCATCAGTCCAAGTTGCCACACCTCATTAGTACAACAAGATGAACACTGGATTCATAGAAGTAGTTAACTCAATGGTGTAACATATAAAGTAAAAATTTTATATAAGGATATAGTACAGGAAGAAAGAATTATTTCGTAGAAAGAAAGATATGAAATAATTTTAATCTTGTAGTTTAAGGGAAATCAGGGAGTGTATACACCGACGCCATTGTGATCGATTTTGAACCATGTCACTCAGAGTTTCCAACCATTGGTTACGATAGTCACGCGGGCTCTAACCAAGTGGTGTGCATCTACCATCATCACTCAGACTAGAAGTTAGTGACTTTATGAACTGATGCCACGTTTTGGTTTGATCGCCACTGACATTTTTCCAACCATGCCCAACACTAGTCAGCATTGCGCGTCGTGGTAATCGATGTTCAGACATACGCAAGACGTGGCCCAACCATCTCAGCCGATGAATATTCACAACCTCATAAAGTGATTTACCATCATTCCCGAATACCCTGTGTAAGTAAGTAAGTATGTAAGTAAGTAAGTAAATACAAGTAAATCATGATTAATATGATTTTAGTGAAATTTCTAAAGATCTCCACAAAACCCCTTTTAATAAAAATCATCTGCTCACTGGTGACTGACTTCAAGAGGCATTTCCCGAAGTTCTAGTAAAAGCCGTTACCAGTGTAGTTCAAGCAGGTTTGTTGTGAGATATCAGTTCACTGAAGACACTGATGCATGGTAGCGCAATTTCATGGATTATTTAAAGCTAGATATTAACAACTTTGGATGCCGACCGGCTCACTGGTCTAATAGTTAAACGCTTGCGCGCAAGATTGATATGCCCTGTGTCCGAATCCCGCCGACGGGGGTCGGGATCGTAAATGCGCACTACTCAGGACTTCCATATTAGGACGAAGCAACCGTCCAGTGCTACCAAGTTTTCTATGGTGATCTAACTTCAATTGACTTATGATTTCAATTAGTTTAATATGATTCTATCATTTGCAGATTAGGTAACATTAAACACTATTAAATAAAATAGAAAGGATATGCTTTGATCACATGAAGTAATTCTGTCGTAAGAAAAAACAAACAAAAACAAACAAAAACAAAATGAATAAAAATTTATATTGAACATTTATAATTTCACCTTTAAATAGAAAGTCAGTCGTATCAAATTAGATAATAAATAATCTTAACATGAATTGTGTATGATGATTGGTTGATAAGAGAAATGACCTTTAAATTATTGATTATCTTTTTTATTTATTGAGCAGGAAAAAAAGAATATATATATATATATATATATATATATATATATATATATATATATATATATATATATATATATATGAAATGATTAACATTTTCAGATATTTTAATAGTTGAATCTACTTAGAAGTACTGGACGACTGTTTCATCATAGTATGAGACTTCTCAACAGTGCACATCCACGATCCTTTATATGGGACTCGAAACCAAGATCTTCAGTTCTGTGCACATGAATGCTTAACCATTAGATTACTGATATGGTATCCAATAGTAATAATGTCTAACTTCAATCGATCCAAAATCTTTTACAACCATTCATTTATTATTTGAAATGGATAACTATCTCTACCCGATAAAGATATATTTACTCATTGCACAAGCAGGTGGCTATCAGGACTCAGTAGCTAAGTGGATAAAGCGAACGGTACTGGGGTTGAGTCCTGGAGTGAACATCAGCTCTAGGATGCAGGTACATCCAAATGACGAGTCCCAATTAGGGTGAAATGCACGTCCTGGATTCCACTACTATCCACTATCCATTTTTTATCCTATAAAAAGTATAGTTCTATGATAATTAACGTAATCTTATAAATAGGTATTAATTTATATCAACTAAGTAAATAATACTAGCCTTCACATTGGAAAGTATGATTGAATGTTGATTATAATAACTAAGTAATAGGTTGACATATAAATACCATAAACGTTACTTAACCGATATAAACTACCTTTATGATATTTTTGTACTTCAGATTATACGCCTGTGAAAATTAATAAAGTTAAAATCAAATTCTATTAGTTTTTATTTGACTATTAACTTATTAATTAAGTTAAAACATTAATTTTAATAGTTGAGATCATGATTCAATTAAAGCTAAACCACTATGAAAAACTTGGAAGCATTGGACAGCCATTTCGTCTTAGTGTGAGACTCCTCAGCAGTACACATCGACGATCCTGCCTCGTGAGATTCAAACCTAGAACCTATTGGTCTCGCGAGCGAACGCTTAACCTCTAAGCCATTAACTTGGCATGTAATTGTGTTAATGTCTCACTTCAACTAATCTACGAAATTGAACAGCACATTCAGTGTTCAGTGAATTACTATCTCACAACAGACCTGGTTGAACTCCACTGATTACTGTTTCTCACTAGAACTCTAGGAAATACCTTTTAAAATCAGTCACTAGTGAGCATATACTGATTAATGTTAGAAGGTGATTTTGTGGATATGATAATCATTTCAATAACTGAGATCATTGAGTCAACAGAATATAAACCACTGGACAACATTAATATTCCATAATGAATATAATTATAATGCATATTCTGTTCAATGTTCCAACAAATTGTACTATAAATAGTTGAAATCATGAGTCAATTGGAGCTAGACCACCATGAAAAACCAGAAAGTATTGTACGGCCGTTTCATTCTAGTATAAAACTATTCAGTAGTACACATTCACGATCACATACGTGGGAATCGAACGTGTTTGCTCACAAGATCAAAATTCCTCAGTTCATGTCCCACTTGCAAGATGGAATGGCCGTTCAATGCTTCCAGGTTTTCAATAGTGGTTGAACTTCAATTCATTCATGATTTCAACTATTGAAGTTACTAAAATTTTCACAAAACTCCTTCTGATAAAATTGTTCTATGTTCAATGTATATCTTTGATCTTTCAATTGTTTCTTTTTTTTCCTCCTCAATATTTCAATTAAACACATATTTGTATGACTTTATTTTAAAATTTTAAGAAAAAACGTTTCGGATTCAATGGATTGGATTTTTTAACATTTTATTTATATAAAAATAATCTATACATAAAAGAAGATTATGATCGTAAAAATGTACAACACATATTAAATATACCATGGGTTATTGAAGAATTGAAAAAGCATCCACGTAAACCATTACCACTTAGTTTACAATGGACAGATGAAGAAGCAGCAATTAAATTACAATCATATTGGAGAGGTTATTTGGTGAGTAACTTTTAAATAATTATCAGAATAGGTTAAAGTTAGATATTCACACCGTTGGATACCGGCTGGCTCAATGGTTTAATGGTTAAGCGTTCAGGCATGAGATTAACAGGTTTTGGGTTTGAATCTCGCCGAGATAGGGACGGGATCATGGATGCGCACCGCTGAGGAATCCTCATACTAGGATGAATTGGTCGTCCAGTGCTTTCAGGTTTTCCGTGGTGATCTAGCTTTAATTGACTCATGATTTAAACTATTGAAACTTTTAAATAATTATTAAGTAGTTGCTAGCAATAGGATCTAGAGCATAGGTTTTGTCTCATTTAGGATATCCAACTGATGAATTATAAATTGTACGAAACAAATGTCTTGAATTCCACTATTAACTATTATCTTATTTTACATAGAAATTTTTAAGTGAATAATAATGTGGAGATCATCTGCACAAGATGACCATATACAAAAAGATGACTGATCAGTTGTAGTTTTTTAACATTAACAATTGGAAAATACAAACTTTTACAAAGATAAATTTACTTTAATTGAATATTTCAACTTAAAAAGGAATAGGGGTTTGTGGAGATGGTAGTAATTTTAGTAGTTAAATTCATGAGTCAATCTAAACTAGACTTCCATTGAAAACCTGGAAGTACTGGATGGTTGTTCCGTCCTAGGATGATACTGGTCAGTAGAGTATATCCATGATCGTGCACGTCGGACTCGAACGCGTTTGCTCACGAAATCGAAGGTCCTCGGTTCGAGTCCCACTTGCAGGACGGTATGGCCGTCCAATGCTTCCACGTTTTAAATGGTGGTCAAGCTTAGATCAACTCATAAATTCAACTATTAAACTTCCGTACTATGAAGTGAAATGAAAAACTAGAGAGCATGTTAAACATTTGTTTTATCATTTAGTTTTTCCTTCAAACTTTTCAATATTTTATACAACATTACAACTTGAAACATGACTTAACTTTGAAAATATTTAAGTCTTCTATTGAATACGTTATTACTCAAACCAAAATCCTAGATTACTATTTAATTGTTTAATTCTTCTACTGTATAATATACCTTGGACACTACATTACTCTTGACTATTCGTAAATCGAACAAGAATTTCAAAAGGGATAATATGTATTCCAATAAACTTAAACAACGAAGTTAATTAGTTATATAATATACCCACAGTAAAACTCATTAATGTTAGCAGTGGCGACATGCCTTACAATGTCCTAATGACAATGGCCCTTGAGAATACTGAGAAGCAACCACCAGTATGAATGAAATCGGCTAAACAGCAAACCAATTTTGTGCATGAACAGTCAGTAAAACTTGCCAAAGCAATGCCGAATCATCCACAATACCAATGGCGAACCTCCAACCTCATATGAGACCTTCAGCACTACATAGCCATATAGTCATATATATAACAAAGAAGTTACAGTATTATAAAGATTAGAGTATATACAAGATCTTGCATAACTATCTTTCAACAACTTCTTGATTTATCCAATAGGGTTGTTTAATTAATCAGTTATAATGAATGGTTCAGTCAGTCAGTCAGTCAGCTGCAACGTAGGACCGGGCACATACATGCATCGGTTCAAGTTGCCATACCGCAATAGCACAGCAAGATGAACACAGAATTCATAGAACTAGTTAATTCAATGGTGGCAATATATGAAAGAAAGATTGCATATAAGGAGATAGTATAGGAAAAAAGAATTATTTCGTAGAAAGAAATATATGAAGCGATTTTAATCTCATAGTTTAGGAAAAACCGACCATCGGTTATGATAGTCACGCGGACCCTAACCAAGTAGTCTGCATCTACCATCATCACTCAGACTACAAGTTAGTGACTTCAAGCACTGATGAAACGTTTTGGTTTGGCCACCCCTAACTTTCTTCCGACCGTCCCCAACACCAGTCAGTATTGTGTGTCGTGGTAATCGTTGTTCAGGCATACGCAACACGTGGCTCAACCATCTCAGTCGATGAAGATCTACAACCTCATCAACTGATTTACCATCATTCCGTAATACTTTTCGTCTAACCTCACTATTACTTACCCGATGATCTCAGCAGATGTGAGCAATATTTACAAGGCATCTGTGATCAAATACTTGTAGCTTATGAGTATCTTCTACTCATAAAGGCCATGTTTCGCAGCCGTATAGTAGAACGGAACGAACCACCGCACAGTGTACTCGTCCCTTAATTGATAGACGGATATCTTGCCTTAGCCATAGGTGACGTAAGTTGGCAAAGGCCAAACGAGCTTTTCGAATTCCTGCTGATAATTGTATTCAATAGTCAGAGTTCCCTCTATCTTGCTAACATAATTAATGGTTGATATTTCCCTTTTTAATTCAATTAATTTTGGATTTATTGTCTCACTTGAAACTATGGTAACTACAGAAGTCAAAAGCTTTCGTTCTAGTATATGACTCTTCAACAGTGAATACTCAATATCAAATTAAACAATCTTTACAATTTCATCATCTTATTAAGAATTGCCTTCTCTCTAGTGAATAATTTTTCAAAGAATCTTACGAAGGTTTATTGAGAAGTTGCGATAGGTAAAGTTCAGGCATGTTAAGAGAGATAGTTACCATCTATGGATTGATTGATGATTGGATAATATAACGAAAAGAATCTAATAAGAACTGTAGAGCATAAAGTTTGAACACATTATCTCAAGACTGATGTGTTCACTAAGAGCCAAAAAGAGAATTGTTTGAATTGTGACTATACACTGCTTTCAAGTTAGAATGACATCTTTCATGGTTTAGGAATAGTTTGGAAGAAAGCTAGAGGCAGCCAAACAAAAACATGGCACAAATAAATGAAGTCACTGACAAGTGAACTGAACCATGTTGGTAGGTGTAGACTATTTGGTTAAGATCCGCGAGATGATAGCAACTGATGGTTAGAGACCTTGAATGACATGGTTCAAAATCGTTTGCAATGATGTAGGTGCATCCCCTCCTTGTGTTCTCTAAAATTATAATCTTCTGAATTCTTCATGTCCCTTTCCTTTTTTTTCTTTCCAAATTTATTTCACTGGATTATACTCCTTGAATAACATCTTCAAACCCTAATCTTTCTGATTACTGCTTATACTTTTACTACCTCTATCACTATGTGATTTGAATCGACAATTGTATCTGTGTGTTGATGTGGTATGGCAACGAGAACTGATGTATGTACGTACGAAGTTTGTCACATTGTTGCTGACTGACCAACTGAGTTAAAATGACACAACTACTCAATGCTACATAGTTTCTATTTGCTGTGTTATCGATGGTTCAATTGTAAATATAATAAAGATTGAAATTTGCTAACATATTTACACATTTTTAATCATGTTATTGATTTAAAATCGGTGAACATAAAGTACACGAACGACCTTGACCTGCTTTTTAGCCGAACCGACAGCAGCTTTTTAACTATGAAACGTTTTAGGATGAAGTTATAATAGATAAACAGGTTGAACATGAATGATAAACTTCTATATGTGAATTATTATTATGGTTATTTTCATTATATTAGTTATGATAGAAGAAGGCTTTGTGGTAAAAGTATAATTAAAATAACCCATAGTGTCATTGAATAAGAAAAAGAGAAATCAGCGAAGAAAATTTTCTTTTCGACGAAATCATTTACTTAAGCTGTACATTCGTATATATAGTTATGATCCGGTCAAATTCTCCATAGAGACCGTTCAAAAAGACTCAACTGAAAAAACTGAACAGATGCTAGTTAAAATCTTAAAGAAAATGAAAGATGAGTCTATTATCAACTGTGACCTCTATGAACACCTTAAACCATCGGGTTCCGTTATACCGAGACTATATGGGCTCCCAAAAGTTCATAAGAATACTGTCCCACTACGTCCTATACTTGATATGAACAACTCTTCTTATCACTTGATCGCTAAATGGTTAGTTGACATTTTAAAACCTGTTAGAAATCATATCAATAAATACAATTGTCTTGATTCCTTTGAATTTGTCGACTCAATTAGAAATATAAACGTAACCGGTAAAAAAATGTTCTCATTAGACGTCACTTCTCTGTTCACAAATGTTCCTCTCACAGAAACAATTTGCTTTTTGTGTGACTATATTGAAAACAATAATCTTGATATGTGTATCCCAAAACATCATCTTAAAGAATTACTTCTACGATGTACGCTCAACGTGCCATTTAGATTTAATGATGTTTTCTATAGACAAGTAGATGGAGTTACAATGGGCTCTCCATTGAGTCCTCTCTTGGCTGATTGCTTCATGGCTAATCTAGAAAATTCGGTACTTCGCCCAATAATTGAGAGATTTCATTTATATAAGAGATATATGGATGATACTTTTATTATTTGTGAAGAAGACATGAACCTAACTGAAATTTTGAAAAGTTTCAATAATTGTCACCCCTCAATTGAATTCACTTTAGAAGCAGAAGCAAACCATGAATTTCACTTTCTTGATGTCCGATTAAAAAGAAAGCCCGATGGTTTTTTACAGCGATCTATATACAGAAAACCTACTTGGAATGGGCAGTACACTAATTTCCATAGCTGGGTCCCATTGAGTAGAAAGAGGAACTTAATTCATTCTTTATCCTCTAGGATCAAGAGAATCTGTTCCATTGACACAATAGATGAAGAACTAATTCAACTTCGACAAACTCTCATAAGAAATGGTTATCCACCTAGATTCGTCGATAGTAACTTAACACCTAGAATTCATCATGAGAAAGTATCAACAGTACAGAAGAAAACCTTGTTTATGAATATGGAATTTAAAGGAGACACAGCTGCTGAAATCTTAAATAAACGGATTTCAAAATCATTGAATAAAACTTTCTACACAGCCAAGCTCCGAATTGTTTTCTCAAGCCGACCTACCATTCCTGGATGTGTTAAAGATAAACTTTCGCTTTGGGCCACATCAATGTGTATTTATAAATTTACGTGCTCATGTGGGGCTCGTTAT